TCATGTAAACCAGTTTTTTCTGATTATCACATTGAAGTGCACGTAAACGCGTCAAATCAGATTATTACCATTACCTGACTATTCCCAGTTATCTGATTATTGTGCGCATGTAACAGTGTGATCACTGTTGATAGGAGGTTGAGACAGACTCAAGTCATCACTGCTGCACTGTTGCATTTTTCCAGTTTTCCTAATATTTCAGTGTTGTGGTCACTTTATTTATGACGTTATGTAGGACGTGTAAGTATCCGTAATGAGATCAACCTCATATATTGCACAATCTAATCTGTAGCATTTCATTTACTCACTGACATCCAGCCTTTGGAGAATATTTCTCTGACCTCTTAGTCTTGCCACCATTTTCTCCTCTGATGAAGAAACTCTTCAGTCTCATAAACGTCCTCCTCCCTGCTCCTAACAGTTTTTCACCTTAGGAGCTGTTTTAAGAGATGCTCTGTGAATAACTTATTTTATCAAGGACCTAGTCTGAACTTTAAGGGGAAACTCTAAGACAACGTCACAACTCTAAGAATTTTCTTAGAATTTTGTCACTGGGAGCAACTCTTAGCACGAGGAAGCTTTGTGAATACGGCCCCAGGTCTCAAGCACGACCTTAACTTGGGGTTTTAAAACACTCTTAGATTAATTCTTTTTTAAGATTATTTTTTTGGAGCTTTTTGCCTTTAATAGGACAGTATTAAGTTGAGAGGGAGTTAGAGAGAGGGGGGATGACATCCAGCGAGGGGCAGCAGGCTGAAATCAAACTCTTACGCAAGGACATTGGGACGCCTGCTCTCCCCACTGAGCGTCTGGGCGCCTCTTAGACCTGACTTTGATTTTTACATAATTATGACATACTGAGTCATAAGAGAGTAACTTTCTTATTATTAATGAAATATCAAAGAATAACATTTAAATTAAATCCCAATTTAAATCCTTTAAACTGCAGTTGCTCACTTATATTTTTATTCATGAACACCATAATTTACATTCCACGTCCTCCCAAAGAGTCTGAATCAAACTAAAGTCGCTGTTTTTGTAAACTGGATCACACAGTTAGAAAACAACAAAGAAGCAGTCAGGGTACACAATTATTTATTCCATAAAATAAATGAAATAAATTAAAAAAAGAAACACATGGCTTTGACAATCCTAAAGTCATGGCGAGGTGTGTTCCCCCCTCAGTTTGTTTAGCACTAAACTGTTTGTCACCGTGTCAGTTGTGTGTTTACTGCAGGTCGCCTGTAAACAAAGCTACAGTTGGAAAACAAATGTTACAATGAGGGAACCAAGGAGATGAGCTCCGAGGAAGAGTCTGATGATGTAATGGAGTTCTTAATGAACACTGCGTTTGTTTTTGGTCATTTCATGGAAGTTGTTGACAGTAAGAAAAGTACAGAATAATGACAGTGAATAAAAACCTTAGGCTGCAGATGTACTTGCTTTTTAACATGTTCGCACTGATAGCCGGCTGCATCGTCAACAAAACTGTTCACGTACTTTGCTCCACGGCAGAAAAAGACAGCAGCGCCATCGTAAATGTTACGTAAAGCGGGATTTATACTTATGCACCAAACTCACGGCGTAGCCTGACGTGCACCTCCCCAGAAATGTAACGCAGCAATGTGATGCAGTACGACGCAAACGTCCTGTCTGTTTCTGTAATCTGAAACCATTTCCCTCAGTGGAAACAAAGCTTTTATTTACTTTAATTTCACAGATAAGAAACAATAAATTGTGAAGACAATAAAGCCTCCAAAAAAATAACATTTTAAGTCTTGTGTGTGATTTATCCTGGCTTCATATGAGCAGAGGAAATCTCTGCTTGTTGCTAGGCTAATTTATACAATGTAAAATGCCATAGGCTTGTGCTAATAACGTTAGCATGTTGTATTTGTTTGGAAAACGTGTTTAGTATAAGACAGTTGTTTTGTCAGTGAACCTTGTGAGCTGTAATGGAGCCGAATTTTGTAACGTTACCTTTGTTAAATGTTGCTGTTGTCCCTGGCTTCATATGAGTAGAGGAAAAGTCTGCTAGCTGCTAGGCTAGTTTATACAATGTAAAATGCCATAGGCTTGTGCTAAAAACGTGCAAGGTTGCTAAATCAAGCACGTCATCACTGAGGTGAGTTTGTTTTTCATGCTTTATTTATGCGTCCACAACACTAAAGTGACGTTACACTATCACAAACTTTTCGCAGGGGTTCTGTGCCCTGGTTATTCGCCTGTCCGTAAGTCGCCTGATCTCTACAGTTTAAATGTTGTTTTGTTCCAGGAAAACCCCGCGTGAAGTATGAAAGATCCAAACTTTTCCTCGTCGCGATTTCTTGTCAGCTAGTGACAACCACCTTTTAATTTCTGAGGATGTGCACAAAGACGCAGCACACTAGAGGCAGCCAACATGCGCACATACTGTATATGTGTAGTTAACGGCAAGTATATCTGCAGCCTGTTCTTTGAACAGCTTGAAGTGTGTCAGATGCTTCCTGTGACCAAACCTGACACATGAATTAGATTTTTGGCAGAGTGTGAATCTACAGGGTCTGAATGACTCTGTCTCTTTATTGCAGCCAGTCAGTGATCAGTTAATCGATCAAGGCTTTTTTTCTTTGTCTCCTCTGAAAGTAAACTAAACGTCTTTGGGTTTTGGACTTTTGGTATGATATGAAAGCATCAAATTGAGCTTTGGGAAACTAAGATGAGCATTTTCAGTATAAGTCAGATTAATCGATGAAGATTTTGTAGCCTGACTTTGCTTGCTTTAAAATTAAAATGTCATTTTGTCTAATGGACCTGTGCAGCTATAGTGCAGAGGTGCATTTTGACACAAAGTCCAGCTTTACAGGGTCATTAAAGCAGCTACATATGTGTAAACCAGTGTTTATCTAACCTGCAACCATCAATGAATACTCTGAGATAAACAGACCTAAATTACCAAACGTTTCCATGATTATAATCCCGATTCTTGACGTAAAACAGAGAAACTTAAAGCCCAGCTCAGATTTGTGAATGGCAGAATTATTAGTGCAAAATTTAGATGGCAGACACATGGATTGTTCCCGTTCATTTTCATTGGTGCGACAGCTGTGTGTGTGTGTATGTGTATATGTATGGCTTAGACACAAAAATGAATCAACCAATGCTTAGTGCAGGAATTGGCAGTCAGTCTGTAAATCAGCATTTAAATTCAGTTACTAAAAATCCTCTTAGCAAAGACTTGATGTGGAAACATTCATCAAACCAAACGGTGATGATCAGATGAGCAGACAAGACGCAGGGATGGAGAGAAAAAACAAACGTACAAACTGTTGCATATATTCGCCACAGGAGCCTGAAGCTGTTTGTGCTATTGCTGTGTGAGCTAGTTTGGACTACAGTCTACAGTACGGAATACTGCTCCACCCAGTGTGTGTGGGTTTACATGCTCATAGTCTCTGTCGTAGTTATAGGAAACATCTGCCCTGGTAAAATCCGAACAGTTAAAAATGTGAATACAGTCGGTGGAAATAAAATATGGTCCGTTACGAAGTTCACAGAGGAATTCAGACGTGTAGATGAGGTTTTAGGAGGACTGAAGCATCATAGTCACGCCACACACACACACACAAAATGTAATGGTGCATTCAAGCGCTCTTTGTCAACTCTGAATGCCTGAAATCGGCTTCAAATACCACTTACAAACTTTCCTGTATTAGCTGATTTGACTTTTTTCTGGGTCAGAATCTGTTGTCGAGCCATAATGATTTTTTGATCAATAAATTAAGCAACTATTTTGGTCGTTATTTAATAACTTAAAGGCAAAATCCCCAAATAAATCTCTGGTTTTAGTCTTCGAATGTGAAAATATCTTTGATGGGGAGACAAAACTGGACATTTTTCACTACTTCCTGACATTTCCTTTTTTGTAAGATTATTTTTGGGGCTTTTTTGGCCTTTAATCGATGGGACGGTGGTGGCGTGGGAGGCATGCAGGTTGTAATCGAGCTGCTGGTAGCCTCTGTACATGGGGCGCCAGCTCCACCACGTGAGCTACTCGGCGTCCCTATTTCCTGACATTTTATGGATCAAACAATTCTTTGCTTAATCTAGATAAGTCCTAAAATGTGATGATTTCTCCAGAGTACAGCATCAACACATTTTTACCTGTACTGTTGCTTTAACTTCATCACTATGACGGAAACCTGGCAACCCACAGCTGAATATGTCCACGTACTGTACAATTAACTTCCATTTCCAGGTTAATGGTAAATATTTTTGTCACAATACTGTCCACATTGTAATGCACAAAGGAGCTCGAGTATAATTTTGGTATTTTTCAAGCTGGACCCTATTTTACCGTGTTTTTTTGTCCATGTGACTCACGACAACAACTGAGACAACAATTTTTTAGACAGGGTCAATATTTAGTGAGAGCGCTGCAGCCGGCAGCAGTGAAACAAGCTGCAGTGTAAACACTCGGGGCATGTTAGCACCGTCAACGTACAGCCACTAAAAGTGTTGTTTTTGTAACTGACATGTTGACAGTATTCTTCTAGGTGTCTGACAGCGTTATGGAAAGGAGGAGAGCCAAAGTGCGTCTAGCTGCCACCGGTGTGGGGTTGTACAGTACACTGAATATTCACCAAGTTAGATGTTAAAATATGTAGGTGATGGTGATTTAAGGGCAGTTTTCACTGAAACAAAAAGGATCTTACTCTTTAACATAAAGGTCTCTCTCTGTATGGATCAATCTGGGCCTGTCAGTGGCAAAAACAAACACTTTAAGCGGGCATAAATATAGGGTGCACATGCTGCTCTTGATTGGTCAGAATTTCCATGTGGGAAAAATCCAGGAAGTAAAGCAAACGTTGAAGAAGAGTACACTTGCAAGATAAATGTGACACTTTCTAATGTCACAATGGAGGGACAACTACGCAGGTTGATTTTAGCGCTGCTCATCGTGGACTATATTGCTGTCATTGTTCATTTTAGTCAAACCATACAGTTTGAAAATTAGGCGCGGCTCCAACTAGAAAACAATGTTTTGATGCATTGGATGTGCGTCGACCAGTACATACTCTATTTACACCCTGCAGTGGTGTCTTTGTTGGTCCAGTTCATGTGTTGTGACATTTGTGACCCTGAATGCACCATTAACCCAAACGATGGTGTCTTATCAGAGTTTGAAAGAACATCGGGAATGATTATGAAGTTATACATTTGGTCTTCAAAAAAGACTTTGAAGGAGGCGTCGCTTGATGTGAGACACAGCTTGTAATGAAAGATGTTTATAAAAATGACTGAAGCAACAGTTTTACCCCCTTTTTTCCTGACAGTGGTTTAAAGATATAAATATAGTTAATCAGCAAATTAATGGCAAATACAAACATGTAAAATATAACGTTACACAGACTAGATGAGACCTACAGAATCTGGATCAAAGGGCAGATGTTTCCTTTAACTGTTGCATCATCGTCATCATCATCGTCATGTATTCTGTTGTAAGTTTAAGTGCTTGTTATTGTAAAGAGTAATGACTGTAAATGTTTATGTGCATGTAAACACACCTGTTTCATCTGCCAGCAGTGTGTCTCCAGGCAGATTTATGGCCTCAAACAGCCCATCATGATTTCTACACTGCGGCGTTGTGTGTATGTGTGTGTATGTGTGCAGTGCATTATGCTTCAGCACCAACAAGTCTTCGTCCACTGGAACCACTGAGCTTCACTGGTGTTTGGTCCCAAGATCTTTCCAGTTCGCTGCAGGTCAGGTGGGAAATTCATTCAAGTTAGTGTGTGACGAGTCCGTCTCTCCGTGTAGTCCTTCCAAGTGTCAAGGCCATGTCTTCCCTTCTTCCCCCTCCTCTTCCCCATCCCGTCTTTACCTGACTTCGTGGAAGTAGAGGTTGGCACATAGACACAGCAGCACGATGGACGCCAGCATGTAGTAGATCAGATTCCTGAATTTAGGCTCCAGATCGCCCTGCCGGTACCAGAATATCTGACGGAGAGAAACAGGAATAAAACTTAAACTGATTTCATTGAAAGTTTTATATCAATAAGCGACAAAATGCTCTACTGTTCATTACAGTTTTACAAGAAACATCAGGTGGCAATGTTGCAGAAAAACATCAGCTTAGTGAATAAAGTCTGTCAGTCTACAGAAACCCTACCTTTCAAAGTTATTAGATAATTTAGATTTCTACTAAAAAATAATGTGTATTCACCAGCACTATAGTGGATCCACATGCTAACAGGATGCACACGGCAAAGAAGACATTAAGCGGTTTTGGAGGCAACGAGGGGAACACAAAAGAACTGATAATAGTCACCTGGAAGACAAAATAAGGACAAACGTTAAAGACACTTTAACATGAAAAACGTTCAATTTTAAAATTTTCAAAAAGGTTTTAATGATCTAAGCCTAATTTTTAACTCACACCTCGAGATCTGGACAGAAAACAAGAAACAGAAAACTGAAACAGACTTTTGCCCCTTAGACGCAGCTCTAATGCAGGCTGGCACACCTCCAGTTTGGAGAAGCAGACAGGAGTACTGACACAGAAGCTACGCAATGTACCGCTGTAAACAGGGGCAGCAACAAAATGTATTTTAGCCACCTAAAAAACACCTATAATCAGTTTAGTGTGCACTATATAGGAGAATAATTCCATTGCTTTACTGTACAGTCAGACAGACCTTTTTGACAGTGAACTGGGGCAGTTATATCGCTCTCTTCAAAGCCAGATTCCACTGACAAAACCAGTAATTTTACCTCACCTCAAACGGTTAGTTTGTTTGCGTTATTTTGTGACTTGGTGTTTTAAAGTACTATTTGGACGGGATTAGTTTTACATAGGGATGTGGACTAATGTCAGATAACCACAGGATGCCTGTAATATAAATGTCCGATTCACATGGGACAAGGAATCTCTGTAATTCTACCAGAGATGGGAGTGGTAACTCGGTTTGCGCCCTGGCGTCACCTCCCTGTCGGCATTTGCGTGCTACGTTGCTTCCTGTAAGCATCAGCTGAAAGATAATAATAATTAATGTTTAGCCCAATGTGAAATATTGCCCATGACCAGGATTGTGTGTACACAACGATTAGCAATATGGATTTATATCAGGCCGACCTAACACAACCAGAAGTCTCGTGGCTCTGAAAAGTGCTTTCTTCTCGACCTTTTTGACTGGTCTCCCACGTACAGTAGGGCTATGCCATCATTAGAAGAATGTCCACGATCACGACTGCTGACAACACCGAATGCTTCTTCAAGCACCTCCATCATCGCAAAAATGCGGAACACGGAAAAATGGTTGTAAACAGGACGTGACGAAATATTTACACACATTTTTACAGAGGATCGCGTTCGCACGTGATTATTATTACCAGAGGTTTTTCTCCAGACCGTTTTACAGAAGGTAAAAGTCGTCATAATTTTTACTGACATTATCCGTAATGATTACAGACATGGCGCGTTCGGACGGGACTAAAATCCCTGGTAATAATTACTTTACGCCACGTCTCCACGTTAAACTAATCCCATCCAAATAGGGCTTTAGATTCACCATGTTTGGCCATGTTTAATTACAGCTTTTCTCAATGGAGTCTGGCAGCTTTGAAGAGAACGATATAAAGGCTTCATTTCCTCGTCTGATGGCGAGGTAAAGCAGTGAAATTAAGATAAGATAAGATAAGATACACCTTTATTGATCCCACAATTGAGAAAGTCCAGTGTTACAGCAGTCAAGGGGAAAGAGTCAGATTAAAGATTTCAAACTTTAAAAACGTAAAACAAACTAGGCATGCAAAAAGAGTACAAAAATACAAAAATCAGCAATAAATAATAATAATAATAATGAGCAGTGAATAAAAAATGAGCAATGGATTAAAGTGAAGTGCAAAGTGAATATTGTATGTGCAAATAAACAACAACAACATGGGGGACAGTTATGCTTATTATGGTGTCCATAAGGTGTCCATAGTGTCCCTAAGTGTCCACCTCAAATTATTCTGAATATAGCGTACACTTAATCTTTTTTTTTTTTTTTTAGGTGGCTAAAATATGTTGCTGCCCCGGCTACTGCAGTGCATTGCTTAGCTTCTGTGACAGTACTCATGTCTGCTTCTCCAAACTGGACCTGTGCCGACTGACATCTACAGAAGATAATATACTAACTATGGATGAGTGCATCACATGACCTCACTTTAAAGATCAAAACCAACCCTTTTAATGTGACATCGAGTTATGCAAACATTTTACGAGCTCAGTCTGTGGTCACAATTTCTATATAAAAGCGATGCATTTATAGCAACTTTTAAGAGTAGCAGACTGAAGAGGTGCGTGTGTGTTGATTGACTGCAGAGAGTCAGTGTGTAGTCACACTTTTCACTCTGAAGAAGGAGAAGTAAAAACAGCTGAGTCATTGTTTTCACCGCAGACACCCTTTCCTCATCTGTAGGCAGCCACAGTGAGATTTTATACGCTAGGAAAAGGATTCTCAACCATGAAAAACTGCTCCAATCGTAATATATGTAGATCTCGTGGCGCCACAGTTCAGCCTTTAATCCTGAAACTAACACTATAAATGAGTCGAATGAGAAAATAAAATATCAGAAAATGAATTATTAAAGAGCCTTTGATGCGTTGAGTAAAGCAAATGTGCAACACGAGTGCTACGAGCTCTTTGCGTAACCCTTGACTAAACTAAAATATCAGCGTGTTAGTTTTAATCGCTATAAAGGGACAAATGTCAGATCAGTTACAACCATTGGAGACTTAAAAGGTGCTCTACACACCCTGTCTAATGGTAAGAGTGGAAATATAAAGCTAAACGCATTCCAAGAGCAGCACAGAAATGCCTCTACATAACTGCATTTTCAAAGTTATGGTGCAGTCCAGAACGACTTGTCCCATAACTCTTTGAGCTCATCAGTGCTCGTCTGATTGTATCTTCTGTGATCTCAAGCAGATACAGAAACATGTTGCTGCAACTCCTCTGGAATTATTTTGTTCCTGATTCCACAGAAAGATTCAGGAAGCTGCTATAAACGACTGTAGTGATTGCTTCAACTTTTATTTTGGTGCAACATCTATATTTGCTGTAGGTAGTAAAATCAGGAGGAGGTTTTTTTAATAACTTCTATCTGATGCTGCGGAAGATTTGTACTCACTAAAACAACCAGAAATGTGAATCCCCCCACTGCCAGGTTGATGATTCGATCCTGTGAGAGAGACAGTGAACACATCAGTTTATACAAGTCAATATCAAATGTCCGCCATCTTTACACTCTGCAAGACACTTCAACTGCAGCCTAGTCGACAGAAGAAAATACTGGCATCGTACATTTCTGCAGACCATTAACACGTTACATTTGCACGTTTCATACATATTGCATCAACGTATCTGCAGCGACGTAGTACACAACGTCACTTAAGCCAGATGACTGCCGAGCTGCAGATCAACAAGCAACAAAACCAGGTGTGTTTTAGCGAGTCATTGCTGTTTCCAGCAGTTTTTCAGGCACCAAATGTAGGTGGGATGCTTTTCAACCCCCAAACAAGGGTGTTGTTTAGTGACCTGTCGCTGTTTTTCTTGCAGCTTTTCAGCCCACTAACATGGGTGCTTTTGAGTGACCCTTTGCTGTTTGTCCTGCGGCTTTTTAGCCCCTGTACATAGGTGTCTTTTAGTGACCCTTTGCAAATTTTTGAGACGCTTTTCAGCCCCCAAATGAAGGTGTTGTTAATCAGCCTGTCGCTGTTTTCCAGTGGCTTTTCAGGTCCTAAACAAGGGTGTTTTTTGGTGACCTGTCGCTGTTTTTCAGCTCCCTAAAGAGGGCTTTTTAGTGACTAGTTGTTTTCCTTTGAATTTTCAGCCTCCAAATGTGTTTTTTTGTGACTCGTCTCGACTGTTTTTCCTGCAGTTTTTTAGCCCCCAGTTGTGGGTGTTTTTTAGCAACCCCTCACTGGTTTTCCTCCTGCTTTTCCTGGTTTTTCTCCTCCTTTTCAGCCCCAAAACTGCTGTTTTATTTTCTTTAAGGGACACATTGCAGTTCCCAGCAGCTTTTCAGCTGTGGTGAACTCTCACTTGCAGTTTTTCAGCTCCCAAACAAAGATGTTTTGTAGCAACCCATCGCTGTTTTCCAGCGTCTTTTCCACCCCCAAACTAGGGTGTTGTTTAGTGACCTGTCGCTGTTTTTCCTGCAGCTTTTTAGCCTCTTAACATGGATGCATTTTAGTGACTTGTTGCTGTTTTACTTTGGCCTCTTAGCCCCCAAATGTGGGTGTTTTTAGGAACCTCTCACTATTTTTCCTGCTACTTTTTAGCCCCGAAACGTGGGTGTCTTAGTGACCCGTTGCTCTCTTTCCAGAGGCCATTAAGCCCCCAAACCTGGGTGGGTTTTTTTTTTTGCGGTCCATGTTTTTTTTTTTCAGCAGCTTTGAACCCCATCAAATGTGGGTAATTTTAGTGACCAGATGCTGTTTTTCCTGCGACATTTTAGCCTATAAACACAGGTGTTTTTTAGTTACCAGTCCTTTTTTTCCAGCAGGAATACTGCTACGAAAAGCAGTTGTTTTTTCCTAAGACATTACTGTTTATCCAGCAAAGATTTGGCCCCAGTGTGGGGTATTTTCAGTCTAAACATGATCTTTTTATTAACCTTAACTAAATGTATTTTGGTGCCTAGTCCTACCTACACATTAACCACAGTGTTGTTGAAACATAAAGTTTCAGAGTGTCCACCACATAATAAAGTGCAAATGTAACTGTGGTTTGCAGAAATGTGCACATTTTTTTTCTGCCAGTTGGCTTGATTACTGTCTGTGTATCCAAAGCCCTGATGTATCATTCCTGAATCAAACCAGTTTTAAAAGTTTACACAACATGCTCCTACCCGTGCAGAGGTCTCCCCAAACAGAGGTCTGTTGTCCAGGCCACTCGTGCCGTACGTCCTGGTGGTGAAGTCATCCATGGTCGGCTCGGCAGACACCAACGCTCAGCACCGACCACTTGCCTCTCAGCAGTGCCGCCTCCTGGTGACACCGGGCCAGTGCTGCATGCTAGCTAGCTAGCTTCCAGCTGCCTCCCTCTGCACAGTGTCAGGGAAGCTGTCAGTGTCAACAGAGTGTTGGGGACATCACGGAGTGTGACTCTGATGGTCAGGTGGGTTACCTTATCTGTGAACAGCACAGTCACAAACAGGAAATGCTTACAAAAGGTGAACATGACAGTCAGACAGCAAAAACTCCCTTAAAATGTCATCAGGGTTTCCTGCAACATCCTGCCTTTATTGTAAAACTATAAAAATCCTGTGCTCCATTGTGTCCCCATTTAACTTCACTAAGGTTTAAGCAATAAAGAGTCAAAACACAACAGCACATGCTGTTAAAATCTAAACAAAAAACAAAGAATCTTAAAAGTTCTGGTTACACAAGAGCAGCATTTAAATTCTTGTAAATTAGAAATCACACAAATAATATATTACTTAAGTGTTTTTTATAAATAAGGACGTTTCTCTGACAGATGACGGTGGTTTTCTTTGTGTGGAGGTTAAACTCTGCTGATTAACACACAACAGAAAACAGATTTATATCGTTTCTCATTCGGCTTCACTTCCTCTTTTTTCAGGTGCGATAAAAACCACAAGTCAGTTCCATCTCTAAACGAGTAGTGGTGATGATGATAGCGGTTTGAAAGAGGAAGCTGAAATCAAAACAAAGTCTGACTTCATACTGCGTCAACATCAGTGTAAAAGTCTATTTTTCCTGTTTAGCAGTTTGGTGACACCAAAGTTTGAACATGAAATTTCCAACCCTAAACCTTAAGACAAAATGTGCTTTCATTCAGCAGCTATTTTAATAACATAAGAAAAAGACACCCAAAGATGCCACACTGGACTCTGGGGACTTGTGATGGGTGAATTTTAGATGTTAAAGGCCAAACAGTTAAGTCAATTACTTGGGAAAATAATCTGCAAATGAATCCAAGTTGCTGAAATAAGAAATGTTATCGCTTTGTTGTTGAAATAGTATAGGGTTGCAGCAATGTACCAGTTTCACGGTGTACTATGATATAATCATTTACATTCTGTAATACCTTGACACCGTGAAATGGCAATATTTTCCGAGACTGCTATCGTACCGTGAAAATTTCATACTGTTGCAGCCCTGATGTAGTAACCCTACCTAAAATTATCTTACCACAAACTCAAGAGCACCTAACAAATGGACATTCAGATTGTTTCCTCATCAAAATGAACTTTGAACCTTTACTTAAAATCATGTTTTGTTTCCTTGATAGGTTAGAGACCTTATATTTTACAGTAGATAATGTATTTTAAAAGAGAACCATCACTTATTGCCTCATCTAGGATCGATAGTATTACGTAAATAGAAATACAGATATTTTTTACTTCAACAACATGCAGAGGATGTTAAAGCACTTTGCCGTAAGTCTTCATTTCATGCTGCGTACACACCCAACAACCTCCACTTATAACAAACAACCTGAGCTTATTTATTCAAGAAAAACCTTAAGGTTATTTTACGGCAAGTGTTAAAGAGTCCTCGGAGTAAGCAACCCCGAGCAGTTTGAGTTTGAGAGCCGCGATCTAATGCAATAAATGTGCAGAACAAGCTGTGAGATACATTCTGCTATTGTATACTCTGATTTTTAATATTGCCAAACTTCCCTGGAGAATTTTAAAGTTTCTCTGTCTGATTACAACTCTCAGAAATCCATGATATGTCAGAAACGACACAACCTGACCACAGACAGCATTATTAGCTCAAAGCAGCAAAGGCGGGGGAAAGGTTAAGGTTCAGCTTCGTCGTTACAAACCGATACACATCCCATTTCAGTTCTGCACAGCTGGTGGCATCTATGTTCACTTTAAGCAGAACCAACAAAACCAGTCTCCTAATCTGATCCTCTTCAGGGACGATTATGACATATTAACTGTATAGGAAACGTCACAGGAGGAGTGGGGATGATAAAACCTCTAGAAAGATTAAATATACTTCTCTAACATTAGTTTCACACCATGTCTTCACGCAAGGTTAAACAACCATTCTCACAAAAAACAACGGCAGCTGCAGCTGCTGCTTCCTTTCTGGGTCAGAAGGCAGCAGGAAAGGAAATAAAACCCTCGCAGAGCTTTCTCAGCAGAAAACACACGGTGGAAAACAAGAGCTTCATTATATACTAGCATAAAACTGGCCTAAAGCTACATTCCTGCAGAGCCTTGTGATTCACTAGGCTTCTTAAAAAGAGACCCCACGACTTAACTGAGCTAAGAAGACAAATATTTGTTTCACGTGTGAGCCAACAGTAGAAACCAGGGTGAAATGACACCTTGAGAAAACCCTGAAAATGTATATGAACAAATATATAAATAAATATAGCAGGTAAATAATAAATATCTGACGAATGTCTTCACCCTTTGAAACCTGAGCAGAAAAATTAAATTAAAATTAAAAATTAAAGAAAATTAAAAAAGAAAGTGATCTAGAAAAAGTGCTTAGAAATTTTAATTATTTTGTATCGTAATTTTAAACATGAAATAATAATAATAATTATATTTAGTTTTTTCCCTAGCTGTCTTCTTTTTTCCCTTTTTAAATAAATAAATATATAAATATATTTATTTATTTGTATTTTTGCAACTTGTCTTTGAAGACAATTGCACCAATTTGATCAAGCTTTAAATACTTACTAAAGACGTCCGAAAACAGCACAAGAAAAGTGATGTCACTGCTTGTTTCAAAGGCTTAATCTGTTGCTCAATAAATCAACTAATGCAGACTTTTATCGTCAGTTAATGTGATTATTTTCTTGATTAACTGAAAATTATTTAGACTGTGAAACATTGAAAAACTGCTCTTACCAGTTCAGAAGTGTGTCAGAAACCCAAATATATTTAGTTTATACACCCAAATATCTGAATAACACTCCAAAATTCAAATATGTTAAATTTACTATCATATTAAACAACTTAAATCACCACATATTCACAATTAAGAAGCTTAAACCTGTGATTTCTTGGCATTTCTGCATAAAAAATGACTATAACAATTAGCTGATCATCAAAATAGTTGCCGTCAATCAACTAATTGATTAATCCACGAGCTCTACAACCAATTCTGACAAAGAAGTAGATAAAAATCAGATTAAATATAATAAGATTTAGCAATTTAGGATACTTTAATGACTTCAGTATCTTGTAGAGACCTGCAGACACTCTGGTTTAAGGTGTATTTCAACCACTTTTTCAATAGTGTCAACATACAGTACCATATGTCTCCTCACCTGGGTGCAGAGGCAGTCAGGACTGATCACTTTTAATACATTACAGACTAGAATAAAGAGTTTTATAGGTAAATATCAATGAGTATATCAGCAGCAAGCTTGCCTTACTGTAAAACATACTGTCCTGCTGCTGTCCAAACAAACATTACCAGCATGTTTTTAGGAAGTTAAAAGATAAAATCAGCTGCAAACACCTGACTGTCAACATGAAACATGACAATAACCCTGGCAGTGACATTTCTGTGACAGCCACCATTTATCTTGGTTAGTAAATAGCTTACCTTGCTAGCAGCAGCGAAGCAAATACCTTTAAGTTTAACCCAAACAGCTTGTTAGCCGTGTAAGTTATAGCCAGAGGGTAAACGTCACCCAACCATATGTTACCGTTAAGTGGACACTCAGCCGAAAACACCCATTTTAAGGTGTTATTAAAACACAGCTGACATAAAAAAAGACGAATATAAACGACAACATTAAAGCTACCTCCACTCCTGTTAGCTAACTTGAGCTTTGCCCGATACAAGGCCAACTGTAAAGCAGGTTGCTAACGAAGCTAAGCTAACAAACCACAACTGTGGAGAAGCGTCAACAGATTTATATAAGAGCTGATGAACAAGGTGATAATGTGGTGTTTGTGTCGTGTGTTTTTAGCAGCACACTTGCCTCACAGCCTCCGTGTTGACTCCGCTGGAAACATAACTTCACAAAACAGGGTCGAGTATGAATTAAAGGGAATAAGCCCGGTAGCTTCAGTTCAAGCTGTTAAAGGCGAGGTCCGTTACTGTTGAGCCGACACGACCGGTGTGGCTGGTTCACTGACGCACACAGGCCAAAACTCATTCAGGAAACAGGCCATTTAACAGTGGATGCTAATATGCTAATATTTTATGACTCACTGAGGACTCATCTCTCCTGTTGTACTACATCACAGGGGCGTTTCTAGGATTTAAGGACATGGGGGCCTGGCCCAGACATCTGTAGGGGGGTCCAGGGGGCTCATTCACCTTTCCCCGCCAGAGTATTACTTTAGGCCCGTTTCCACCGCAGGAACTTCGGGGTAATTTTACGGGGCCGGGGCCGTTGGTGCGTGTCTCCACCGCAGGAACCACCCCCGAAGGACAGAATTCTGGAACTTTTACGGGGGCTAAACAAGTCCCTGCCTCGGGGTAGGTACTCAGAACGACCCCGAAAGACTCCTGTCTGGGGCTTGGGGATTACTTGGTGCTGATTGGATATATTCAAGGAGGGATGTGACGACAACAGAAAGCAACAAAATAGCCGGCATTTTTAAAACTCAGCAGATGAGAGTTAGCTTGTTCATATAGCTTCCGCCACCATGTAAAAAAAAACTCACTAAATGGCCCGTAAAAAAAATATTTTTTCCAGCGGATATCTTAGTTACAACATGATTGAGCTAGCAAAGCAGTTTTGTGTTGATATGTGTGGTATTTATTCAGTTTTGGGAAATCACGATGTCTAGAAAGCATCAGCTGACAGGGACAGCTAACAGCAGCAGCAAAGCTAACATCAGGCTGTGATCTGTTAAAAGCCTCCCGTTGTCGGCTACGACATGAAACTACTCCAGTTAGCTCATTCATGTTGTAACTAAGACATCCGCTGGAAAAAATATTTTTTTCACGGGCCATTTAGTGAGTTATTACAGACACCGCTATCGGCTAACAGCTAACGGCATCCCTACGTCGCCCCGGTCAAAATGGTTGCGCAACGATTACATCACATCCAGAGCCCGTAACTTTACAGGAACCTTCCTCGTACTCCGCTCTCAGTGGAGACACGGCGGTTGAGAGGGTCGAGCGAGAGGACGTTCCTGTAGTAGTTCCCCAAATAGTACCAGGAACTTCTTCAGTGGAAACGGGCCTTTTTAAGTTGCCAGCCACTGCCAGCACTTTTGATCACTAATCTTTCAAGACCCAGAGAATAAAAGACAAAGCTTGTAAACTTGTTTTTTGTCCAAGATATTAATTTTCAAGAGCAAAATCAATTTCATGTTAACATTTTTTTTTTTTTTCTCATTTCCTTTTGTGGATTTGAATTGTGTAAATAATAATAAAAGTAAAGAAATAATAATAATATTCTGTTTGAGGTATAGCGGAACATGTTGTCACGTTCAGTGTCAATACTGCTGTCTCCCTCTACCCTGTGGTCGTCTTGTCCGTGTGTCACTGTCGCCATCATGGAGATCCCGTTTCATCCAAATCGTATTCAGAATATTGATCAAAACAGGAAGTGTCGGAGTCAGACAAGCTGCTGCTGTTTTTACGGTTTCCAGCTGATCTCCTTTGTTTGTTTTTGGACTTGGCAGTGTTGTTCTATTTCACAAGATGAGCAACAGCGCCCCCTATCTTATAACAGCGAAAACACAGATTGCCAGCATATCTCATCAATAGCGGGCATAGTGTTAATGAACAAGCTCTATTTTTGTGTGTTACAGTCTCCAAATAAGGCATTAAAGGACTTCGATCAGCACTGGTAAAACATTTTTAACGTGAGGCTTTGACTGTGTCTCTATTGCTACAGAACCTTAGTATGTGTCCATTATGAGGAATTAAAGGACACACTGTGGCCTCTCGGGCTTGATGACATGGCCAAACCCAGGTATGAGGTTGAATGTACTAAACCAGTAGTTTTCAAACTTTTGGGCCCAAGGCACACTACAGGGTAAGCCAAAATCTCAAGGCACACCTGTATTTATATCTGAGCACAATAGCTTTTATAACGTGTGTTATCACTCCTATCACAACATAAGACATTAAAAAGAATAAAGAATAAGACAGGTAGCTTTCGTGATACTGTCTACTTTCTCTTTTCTTTTGGTGGTAGGTCGTCTTCGCTGGTGCTTTGTTGTAATTTGCTCCATACAATAAAGCGATCAGTGGTCCCACTCATGGCTTCCTCCTTTTAAATGTTATCATCCCTCACCCTGGCTGCCAATCAGGGCTTTTGATGTATCACACACTTATAATTCCCATGTGCAAATGGCGATAAATAGGTTCCCCTCACAGGTTTTTCAAATCAAATTAAATCACATTTTTTAGCTCGACGTTGTGCCTTTATTAGGAAATGGGTGTGCACAACATACTGATACAGTCAATTAAAAATTAATTTATAACTTTGTGCACAGGCCCAGATGAATACTGCAATAATAATGTGTGGTTATCACAAAATCCCACGGCACGCCATTTGAGAACCACTGTATTAATAAACTGTGTGGACCTTGAACCAGTGACTGAGGAGAAATCTGGACCCTGTGGCTGCACCAGTTGGGAACCACTGATGTAAACCCACACTCAACTGAGGAGTTGTAAAGACAGTTACAACAGTTTTGTTCTGCTAAAAGTGCAGTGCAGTGTCGGAGCACATTTGGCACCCTATAGGCAAGCTTATCCCCCCTTCGGGTGACGCCCCAGATGGCTGCTCATGTCTCATATAGGAAGATTCATCACTGGCAGTACAAGAGTAAGAGTGCATTAAATAATCAAAGTTCTGAATGGAGTTTGGTGTAACCCACTGTTTTTGGTGTTTTTAAAACACACCAAAATGGTTTGTACCTACCAACTGCTATTTTTTAGGAATAATAACAACATGACATACATTAAAACAAAAAAGATCAAGCTCTGGACGAAGGAGTAGTGGTGGCTGATGAGGTGGGTATACCCCATATACCTGCGTATAGCCTCCACTACACCTCTGGTTCTAGTGCACTTTTTTCAGGGACAAACGCAGTAGCTTTATAAACTCGCACAAGCATATTAAATCATAATCAGTGTTTTAGTTTTCTACAGCTTCTAAGAACAAAAAACACATTATACATTGAAAGAAAAGCTCAAGTTTGAGTCAGTTGTAGTCAGTATTCTCTAATATAGACTGTAACCCACATTATGCTATGTGATTTAATTGCCACCCAATTTTTAAGAATTAGAAGTGTAATAATCCAAAAAGAATGAATATAATGTAAATATGATCTATGATCTTTTGAATTACTCACCTGCGTTGCTGTCTCGGAGCTGCCTGTGGTGCAGCGTTCACATCAGTTTGTCGTATATATCTCTATGCAGCACAGCAGGGTCAACTTTCTGTCTAATTACAAGTTAATAAAGCTTAAATCTCTCATTCCACAAGCAGTGAAGTAAAGCGCTCTGTTCTTGATCTAGAGGGGGAAAAAACTCCAGTGGGGTCCTTGCGTAATCCCACCCCTCATGTTACCATCACATGAGGAAAGTGTGACGGACCCAGCATTTAATCCCAGCGAAAGAAACACTTGAGTCACATTTTTAAACAGGTCATGAATGTTACAGTGAGTGGGCATGAAATCACTCCTTATTAAACCCTTAATGTAGGGGGGTAAAAAAGTTTGGCTGCTGCAATGATGTAATTAAAACTGAAGTATTACTGAACTCTTGAAAGTGATCTCATTAAACCCTATTCAGTGCTACATGACACAACCTCAGGCAAACATGACTTATTTAAGTTTAGCTCAACTGCAACTACAGAGTGAATATGAATAATAAAAAATCTAGTTTTAGGGACAACCTTTTGCTGCAACAAACTTCAGTAAGATTTACAGAGTAAATTATCATGAGTTCTCTCTCATGTTGCAGACAAGTGGAGCGGGCGGATCCATCCTCCACCTGGCTTATCTGACTCCCCATGTGGGTCAGACGTTCCCCCATTTTCTCCACAGATTGCTCCAGGGAGATCATAGCCGATGTCTTTGCCGTCAGCTTCTCGTTATTCTCCCGTCTGAACGTTTTGAGCTCGCACAGAATTGCTGCACTCAAATTGTCGTCCTCTTCCAGTCCCGGCTCTAAGCTAACATTAGCGCTAGCGTTAGCCTCTCCGAGTTTGTTGGAAGAAGTTCAATTTTATATCTTTGCTTTTCCCTGTCGGAAGACTTTTGTTTTTTCTTTCAGATTTTGGCATTTGACATTCTGGGATTAAAAATCAGCCTTACGCCACTCTTGACTCGATAATTTTTGGGCAGGAAGGTGGAATTGGGTTTGGGTAGGTCGCTGCTTCACTGATGAGCAGCTGCCATGTCAGTTGCCAGGACTGGAAGCCTACAAAACAACTCTCTTTTGGTAAATATTTTATTGTCCCACATTAACAAGGTGACGAAAACATAATTTTTCCACCTCAGAAGCACAGCCGAGGTACGACCATTTCTGAATGAATAAGATGCAGAGGAATTGATTCACGCCTTTATTTCAAGCCGACTTGTTCACTCAGAACTCAGAATGTTGTTGTGAGCAGTTTCATGTAGGAACTTTTTTCTCTCTACAGAACTACAGCCATCACCTGTATCACCATGCTGACCTGGTGTGTGAGCGGGAACTGCCCATTGGTTTGACATCCCATTGTTCCTACCTTATTAAACTCATTGTTCCGAAGTCCATTCCGAAATCATCATGATGCCCTGTGGTTAAGGTCTGGTTAGGTTTAGGCACAAAAACCACTTGGTTAGGGTCAGGAAAAGATCATGGTGTGGGTTAAAATGAAAAAGAAAGTGACAAACACATATGCCGTGAGCCTGCTCCGCCTCAATCCGGTCGCTGCTCACCATACATCCGCCGCGAGCCGTTCAGCACCGCGGACAGTCGGACTAATGGGATGTCGAACCAATGGGCTGTCAAACCAATGACATGGACCCGTGTGAGCTAACTCTGTGGTGCTAGTTAAGCTAGCAGTAGATGCAAAGTTCCTTCTCCTTTTCTTTTAATACATATCCTTCTCAAAAACCCTTTTCTGTTTGTCAAATTATCTCAAAACGTTACTCATAGCAGATGATATCTTACACATTAGTCTTTTCATTTTCATTTTCATTCTTCCTTTTCTGCTGGTGTTAGACAAAAACTCACCTTCTCAATAAAAAATACAACAGAAGCACCTACAGACAACTTAAGTATCTGTATTAGTCCCGTTTTTCTTTCATCCAACCAAACACTTTACAACACAAACATTTCACTGTCAAAATACAAATCAGTAACAGCACCACACTCGACACTAGCAACAGTGCGATCACATCAATGGAGTGGTACTGAATCCAGGACATCTTGTAAGAGTTGGTCTTTAAGTGAGCAGCTCCCTTGTGTCTCATGACAAACTGGATCCAGAACATGGCTCGGTCCAGAGGCTTCATGGGCTGGTCTCTGTGCAGCCTGGAGAGCTCCTGCATCTTCTCCCTGTAGGACGGCTCATAAAGCACCGCCTTCACCGCCTCCAGGAAGTTGTCTTTGTTCAGCGTGCCAATGTCCATCACTTTGGCAACACCCCTCGCTCTCATCCTGAACAGGTTATCATCCTGGTCAAACATCAGAGGAAGGCCAACGATGGGAACTCCATGGTAGATGGCCTCTTGAACACCATTGGTGCCTCCGTGGGCCACAAACACTCTGGTCTTCGGGTGTCCTAGGAGGTCATTTTGGGGTAGCCAGTCCAGCAGTAGGGTGTTGTTGCCCAGGGTGGACGGTCTCTTCCCAGCATGCTTCCAGATGACCCTCTGAGGTAACTGGGCAAAAGCAGCAGCCACATGTTCTGCTATATCCTCAGGAAGAGTCCCCACCAAGGTCCCCAAGCTCATAATAATGACTCCATGCTCTGCAGAGCTCTGGACAAAGTCCTCCAGATGCTGAGGAAGCAGCTTAGAGGGTTTACACTGAAAGCCGCTCATGTAGACAACGTTGGGCATGGTGGGACGAGGGAACTCAAAGGTGAAGTCAGTTCTCATCAACCAAATATCTGCTGCCTGAACGAGGTCATTATAGTGGACATCAGGACCAAAATGACGGTGGACAAATGGTGTGTAGAGAGACTCATGCATTGTTGCCTGGTTTTTAAGTACAAGCAAGGCTAAGCCAACATTTTTTACCCTTTGCCAAAAAGTCATTTTATCAGTCAGTTCAGCGCCTGGTATGGGAACATATGAGAGGGGAGAGGGGGCAATTGTGCCATGTCCTTCTCCTAAGATTGTCCATCGTACATTAAAGACCAAAGGCACACCCAACCGATGAGCCAGAAGAACCCCTCCACCGAAGCAGGGGTCAGTCAGAACAACATCGTACTTGGCCTCCTGCAAGAACTGCATCAGTTTAACATCCTCAAATATCTCTTCCATTAGATCAACCATAGCTTTGTTAGCATCATACAACATTTTCATAGTCTCCTCTCCAGCTTTGAAAAATGCAGTAGTTGAAATGTGAAAGTCCCGCCGGTATTGCAGCATTCTTGTCATGAAATGATCAAAGAAGCTTGCATCATGTTCAGTAACATCACCAAGGTCGATTGACTGGTAGAGATGGGACTCTGCTTTGATGAACCAGCTGTTTCTGGGCCGGATCACTGTGATCTCGTGACCTCTAGAGTGCAGCTCCTGGATGAGGACCTTCATGTTGACCCAGTGGCTCCCATCCGCAGGGACAACCAGGACTTTCCCTCCATCAGCACTGGGAAGAGAACAGAGCAGTGCAGCCAGTGTCACCAGTCTCAACTGGATCATCTCTCTGGTGAAGCTGAAATCACAAAAACAAAGATGAGGTACAATGGTGACGAGAGATGGTAACAATTAATCAACAATCGATTAATTGGTTATTAAGAATTTGCTCGAGTCTTCTATTAGACTCTTGCTGTCATTAGAATGGTGTATTTGTATGTTCCAATGACTAGCATTTGCAACCAGTGGGCACAATGTAACTATTTTATGACAAGGCAGCCATCTTGGGGTCAGAAGAAAAGCGCAGAGTTGACATTGGAAAATGAAGCGGGCATGTGGGACCATTTTGAGCTGAAAGAAGAAAATGCCTCCTGCAAACACTGTGATTTTGTGTTCAAAAATAACACAGCGATAACAACATTACCTCTACCATTTAAATGATATTCATTCAGGTGCAATGACTCAATCCTCACATCGTCTCAGCAACAGCAACCCACCATTACCTCAGTGTTTGCATGGAAGAGCTGCAGTCTGGTGCTGTAGCCCCATGCCAAAAAGCTGGACATGGAACTCAGCGCCACCCTGCGGATGTCTACGAGCCACCCCAACAAACCAACTGCCTGTCCTCACTGGTATCGCTCCAGCAGAGGTCAGACGAGAAGCAGCCACGCTGGCCCTCGCTTGAAAGGCAGAGACGAGTGAATCCCACCTCCTCCACAAGATAGCTACGGAGACACCACAGCGCTTGAGTCTCAAGTCCCAGAGCCCCTTTGCCACACACGCCGAAGAACTGCTCTGTACAACACAATCTGATACCTCCAGGGCTGCCTGGGTCAAGGCAAGATGGAGGGACCAGTGGAAGTCAGCAGAACCATCAAGGCTCCACCACTACATTGAAGACCCCACAGATGTTCCCGGCCAGCACCAGCACTGAAAGCAATGGACGACCCTTAACCACCTGAGGACAGGCGTAGGACACTTTGGGGCAGCAATGCGAAAATGGGGTCTCGTGGAAAGTGCCCACTGTGAATGCAGCGATCCACTACAAACTGGAGCATGTAATAACCAGCAGCCCCAATCACCGGCCACTGAATGGCGACCGTGGTCTAACTGACCTGGTCGATGAACAACCCATACTGATGCTGAACAGTATGGTGGACAGCCCAGGATTTCGCACCTGATGATGCACCTGCTTGAACCAGCATACCATATTCCATCCCGAGGCACAATTACCTCACGCATTGAGACCACGCACAAGGAGATGGCTAGACTGCCTTAAAGGGAAATTTTGGTTTATTTCAACCTGTCTCCTATCGTCCTAAACTTGTTTTAAGTGACTAGTGACATAAAAATAATAGTTAGCATGTTAGCCGTTAGCCTAGATACAGCCGGGGCGCATAGTAGCGTCAGACCTGTTAAAACGTAAGTGAACAGGCAACCTTCAAGTGCAAAGTTAGTCCACTAAACAAGCTTTTTTTCCACAAAGACCGCCTCATATCATTAGGATAAATGTCAGAGAACATATAGAAAACGACATGTAAACGTGTTGTCTTACCTTACCGACTATTTATAAGAGTCACTATAAATGTAAGCAGCTAGGTAAGATGACGTGTGCCGTCTGAGTGCTGTAAATCGTTTCATCCTGGAAGCAACCTGGGGCGGACCCGGACACAGTTTCCTAAAGATATGGATATACACTATATAGAAATAGCTTATCTTCACACCGATGGTCTCATTTGCTGTTGTAGGTCACACACAGACATCAGCAGAAACGAGAGACTTTTGCATATCCAGTTAAAAGTTCCTTGTAGCGGCTTTAAATTAGTGTTTTTGTTAAAGACTAGGACTAAATCTTAAATAGCTGCCAAAATGAATGCTGATTCAATGACAATAATTCATGTTGTACTTACAGTTGAAAGGTGTTGATTCACAGTCTGTCCAGATTTGGTCTCAGAGCAAGCAGCAGGTCTGCACTTAGAACTGTGACGACCAAGCCTTACACAGTCTCTTGTGTAATATGTCGTCAAAGGCAAAGTTCACACAGTCAGCTAGAGGTCATTTTATGTGAATGGACTACAACAGTGACATTTCAGGATGTTTATAGATTGAAATGACCAAATACAGGTGTGTCAGACTCAGAAGAGTATTTCCTGACTGTTGTGAGAGGCATGCTGCCAGGATGGAGAAGCTGCATGAATTCAAGAACTCAAAGACGTTATTGTTTTCACCTCTTACTCCTTTGTTGGACTTAGATCCTAATCGTGTTACACAACCGGAAGATTTATTATAATTGATGCTTTACTTAATTACATGCTTTCTCGCAATGTTTCGTCATAGCTATTGTCTCTAAATTAGTATCATGTAAACTCAAGGAAGGGTAACTGTCAATCTAGATTAATAAAATAAAAGTATTTTCAGGATTTTCTTTTCTTTTGTGTCCCTCTGGGTTTGACATAAAAGCTGAAACCCCAACTTATTAGTATAAGAAATCTGTATTTATTCATAGTTTGAGGCTGAAGACATTCTCATTTATCTTTACTGTTCCTCATCATCCTCATCTGTCATTGTCATATTTATAAATTCTAAATATTGTAAAGACATGGACATAACATGTATCCATCCATCCATTCATTTTCATCTGCTTGTCTGAGGCCGGATCGCAGGGGCAGCAGGCCAAGCAAAGCACCCCAGACGTCCCTCTTCCCAGCAACGCTTTCCAGCTCCTCGTGGGGGACCTCAAGATGTTCCCAGGCCAGATGAGATATGTAATCCCTCCAGCGTGTTCTAAGTCTGTGCCAGGGCATCCTACCAGTGGGACGTGCCTGGAACACCTCTAACGGGAGGCGCCCAGGAGGATCCTGATCAGATGCCTGAACCACCTCACCTGACACCCTTTGATGCAAAGGAGCAGCAGCTCTACTCCGAGCTCCCTCCAGGTGTCCGAGCTCCTCACCCTATCTCTAAGGCTGAGCCCAGACACCCCACAGAGGAAACTCATTTCGGCTGCTTGTATCCACGATCTCATTCTTTCCAGAGCTCATGACCATAGGTGAGGGTTGAGACATAGATGGACCAGTAAATCCAAAGCTTTGCCTTCTGGCTCAGCTCCCTCTTCACCATGACAGTCTGGTGCAACGCCCGCATCACTGCAGAAGCTGCACCAAACCACCAATCCATCTCATGCTCCATTCTACCCTCACTCATGAACAAGACCGGACATACTTGAACTCCATCGCATGAGGCAGCAACTCTCTCCCAACCAGAAGGATGCAATCCACTGTTACCGGCAGAGAACCATGACCTCAGATTTGGAGGTGCTGACTCTCATCCCGACTGCTTCACACTCCGCTGCAAACCGCCCCAGTGCATGCTGGAGTTTTAAAATAAAAAACCTCATGAATGATGATTAGTTTTGCTTTTGTTATCTTTTTCCTGTTTGGCACTGATTTTGTTTTTTTTCCACAGTGCTTCATCTCTATGCGTATGATTTTGTTGGATATAAAAGGTTGTAAAAAAAAAAACAACAAACAAAAAGGACTTCCAATCAGCATCCTCTGTAACTGCCAGCGAGCGCCTGCATCAGCCACAACAGTGAGTAATAAGCTGAGTTCACACTATAAACAACACAGCAACAAGCTACAAGTCATCTTCAATGGAAGCTGGTGACATGAAGCTACAAACTATCGCCCTTCACTTGTTGCAGATGGGCTGGACGCGCCACAAATCAAAGTTGAGCTGGCCTCAACTGTTTTAAGTGCTCTAATGATCCATTGCTGTTGTTTTTTTGCCCAAATACAAACTTAAGATGACATTTAGTCGAGGTGCTTTGTGGCGGGAGGCAGACACACAAGCCTGTGATGTAAACTATGTTAGCGAGTGCTTGGGCAACACAATCTGTTAATACACTGGCATGAATAAAATGATTAACACATGTAAAAAGTTACATACAGCAGCTTACCTTTAATATAGTGAAAAAAAGAAAATGTTTGGTAACTGCATGGATTTTATTAAAATTGAAATATTACTTAACCCATAACATTGATCTCAATCAATCATGACTGATTTGATTCATCTAGTTCAGTACAACCGCAACCACAGAACAAATATAATGAATTAAAAAACGTCTAATTTATAGGGTTAACCTTGATACTTGGTGCAACAAACTTCAGTCAGATTTACACAGTTATGAGTACGTACACTTTTAGATAAATTATTCCTTTAACAAAACCACACAGTGGAATAATCATGTTCACTGTGGGAAAAAAACATTTTCCTGTCCCAAAGAAACAATCACATACTGGGTGTCTCCACAGCAGCTCTCATGTGCAGTGTACAATCATCTAATTAAATACAAAGGTCACTTCCTTTAAAGGGCATGTATCTGTGTCTGTAATGCCTGTCGACAGGCTGCCGTTAAGGGGTGGAGTCCAGAACACTTTAATATGTATAGACTTTGACTTTGTGGACATCACGGTCCTCACATTCCCTTTTCCTGCTGTAGTAATAAAATGTGTTGTCTCGACGTTGGAGCTTCTTCACAAAGCCGGTCTCTGGCCATTTGTCAACCTGAGACAGAAACAGAAAAAGACAAAGGGACGACATTTATAAACGACTTAGAAATGGATCTTCTGTGGACTTTGAATCTAAATCTGAGATAATTTGGTTGCTTTGCCAATTTTGTTTTTGTTTTGTTGGTATTTTCTGTCGCTTTGCAGTTCCATTGCATCTCTTTGTGGTCTTTTTGTCTCTTCCCAGTGTGGGTGTTGATTTAATTAAAATTTTGCAGGTGAAAGCGTGACACTTCGGCCCCAAGGCCTCTGTTCAGTAATTCATTCATTCATGTATGTGAAGCACTACTGTCAAGCTTTACACTCTGTTTTAAAAAGGACACACTATCATAAACAATAAACACAGTAGGTTTTTTATCCACCAATAAAACAGATATGTTTTGTTGCTGGTGTATGCATGTATCAGCAGTCTGTCAGTACACTGTCTTTAAACGGCTTAAACTCAAATCCTCCATACACAGTCAGTGTCACTCCCAGGTGTATGTTTTAAATCTTCACTGCAATACACATTCAGATCACAATATTTACCAAGGCCCCTTGTTTGACTTGTATGTACTCCATTTCATCTCTGTAGCCGGCCTGCTGGAATCTGAACAGGTTTTCCACCTCTGCCGTCCATCCTTTGGCTCTACTCATGGACTTTGGTTTGGAGTTGTTTTCAGTAGCACAGAACATGGTGGCGATGTTGAGAGATGTCACAGAAATGCAGTTTCCTAAATTCCTGGACAGCAGACTGGTGTTGGATGACTAACAAGGCATGATAAGAAAAGGGAGTATATTTAGGACTCATCAGTTGGCTTTACTAAACATGAAGCTGGAGCAGGAATGAGGTTCAAAATAAGCTTATTGTCATAACACATAAAACAAACGTGTTTTTACTGTGCGAGCTATAGCAGGGATTCAGATTTAACCAGGCTACGTAAACATTTTGCTCCATTCTTGCTTTTCTTAAACATGAGCAAGGACACTAATTAGAGCAACAATGTGTATGAGTTTTAATCTATACTAGAGAAGTTCTGGGAAATTCGGCAAGCAAATGATCCACCAAACATCACTGATAAACTGTCCTCTGTTGTTTAGATGAAGCTGATATTGGCAAAGGTAGAACTGCCAGTCACATAACATGGCAATTTACAAAAAACAAGTGCTGCTTTATGTATTACAAAATATGCCGAACTGAAGAATCGACTTTAAAAATTGTAAAGAACCTAAAAGAAAATCCTACTGTGTTACAATATATCATTATAAGAAGTGATACTTTAAAATGCAATATTCTTGGATTGAGTTCTATGCGTTTCGGGCTTCACAAGTCTTCTTACAACGTCGACAGAGAATATCTCACAGCCTTATTTACTAATTTATGCAAATGTTCCATCTTAATTTTTTATGATTAAAGGATGATTAACAGTTTACTTACATTGCTTTTTAAAGTGGTTTCTTCCCAGACAGCAGTAAGCAAACGGTCGTGGTTTTACAGCTTCTCTTTGGTTGCCTGGTTACTGTGGACTTTCTTCTTCTGTGTTGGAGGACAGTAGCCAAGAGCTTCCGGTAGATGGCACCAAAACATGATAATTTACAAAAACAAGTGCTGCTTTGTGTATAACGGTATATGCCGAACTGAAGAATCGACGTTAAAAATTGTAGACGACCTAAAGGAGAAATCCTTCTTGTCGGTATTTTTCATTCTAACAAGTAATACTTGATACATAATACATAAAATGCAACAATCTTGAATTGAGTTTTTTTTATAACGTCAATGGAGAAGATCTCACAGTCTTATATACTCATTTATATACGTATTACAAATTTAGTTTTCTTATAATAAAAATAGTATCAACAGTTTACTTACGTTAGTTTCTGAAATTGGTTTCTTCGCAAACGGGAGTACAGCTTCTCCTTGGTTGCCTGGTTACCGTGAAGTTTCTTCTTCTGTGTTGGAGGACAGACACCAAGAGCTTCCGGTAGATGGCGCCAAACGACAGAACAGAGCGATAGTAGCGAAACAAAAAAGAAACTCTGAGGCGGTGTTGTCGGCAGCATTAATCTGTGTTTAGAGAAAAAAGCAATTGTCGAGCAAAGCGTTTAAAAAACTCGTAAAAACGAGTTTCAGTTGAAGAAGAAGAATACCGGAGAGTAACTTTACAGTAGGTGGCGGTAACGTCCATTAAGTGCACTTGAAACGCCATGAACAGAAACGTAGAAGAAGAGGAACTGAATTGGTGGGCGGGACAAACTAACACCGGCGTTGTCAACAAAATATGTCCTCTCCGGTAGAAACGAAGTTTAATTAATTTTACTCGACAGCACAGACAGGTTTGGCGTAAACATGAGTTCATTTGCAGGTCGAATGAAGGAGTATCCCACCGTGTCTTTGGACCGGTTCGACCGGGAGAACCTACATGCCCGGGCATATTTCCTCTCCCACTGTCACAAAGGTGAGCCTGGCAGCTAGCTAGCATCACCAACTTCAGTATGTTTAACTGTAAATAATGACATTTAGCATTCACTGAGGCTTTTAACAAGAGGTTTAACTAATGTTCATCTGTTTTATTTTATTAACAGATCACATGAAGGGACTGAAAGGACCAATACTGAAGAGGAAACTGCAGTTCAGGTGACATTTGCTTGACCCATGAAATATAGACCTTGTTTTTACAGCAGATATTTTAGCTTGTCATAGTAGGAACAGCACAGGTGTAGTTAATGACATTAGGAACGACTGCTGGCTCACGATGTAACTGAGTCAACGAAGTAATTCTCATACTTTGAAATAATTTTTTATCTATGGGAAATAATACTTATGTCTATGGTTTCACCTGTGTTTTTCCTACTATGACAAGTATTTCTATTTTCTGATACTTTGTTCTGAACACTGTCAACATTTTATTAACACAAAACAGATGAAAACCATATTAAAAAACTATGGAAAAACACAGCTGGGGTCATGTGGTGTAATAATAATAATAACAACTTTATTTGTAGAGCACTTTTCAAGCTATACGTCCAGCATACTTTCCAAGGTGAAGATAATTCAAAATAAAAATGATATTAATAAAACAAAAGCATACATCTACACCTACATATACACCTTAACACATATATACCTGTAAGCTCGCATCAGACCTGCTGGCACAATCATATTCCCTCCTCTGTGCAGTGAAATATTTATAATTTCTGGTAAAAGCAATGATGTTATGAGAGCTATAAACAGGCTTAAAAAAACTAATAAGACATAACTGAACTCATACAACATAACTCATATAAACCTAGCTGAAAACTAAACAGAGGACTGAACACTTCTAATTAGCTGAATTACTGTTTTGTCTTTTGGTTCCAGTCGTACAGTTCGGCTTTACTGCTCCTTCGTGACCAAAGAACTTCTTCTGAACAATCCCAAGTACGCTTTCTGGGAGGAATACATCGTAAGTCCCATTTATTGTTGTCATTTTCAGTGTGTATGAAGAGTCAAACAAGAGTTGATATAATGGATGTTTGTACACTGTTAAACATCATGGCTGTACACTGTGAGGTGGATTCCAGAAGTAACTAGGAGGTTTTGCTTCAGGTGATTTTCTGTGTGTCCGAGAGTAATTTTTGTCTAAGGGTGCTTTCACACCTGCCCTGTTTGGTTTGGTTCAGTTGAACTCAAGTTCGTTTGCCCCCTCAGTGCGGTTTGTTTGGGCAGGTGTGAACACAGCAATCACACTCAGGTGTGCACCAAAACAACTGTACTGAGACCTTCTTGAAGAGGTGGTCTTGGTCTGGTTACAAACGAACTCTGGTGCGGTTCATTTGTGGTGAGAAGGTGTTCCGACCTGGATGTGAAGCAACTGCAGTCACATGACACATTGTTTGGGTTAAACATGAGCATGTTACAGTCCTGGAGGATTATTAATGTGCACCTCCTCCTGTACTGCCTTAATATGCACATTTAGCACATCCAATGCATCAAAACATTGTTTTCTAGTTGGAGCCGCGCCTCGTTTTCAAACTGTATGGTTTGACTAAAATGAACAATGACAGCAATATAGTCCACGATGAGCAGCGCTAAAATCAACCTGCGTAGTTGTCCCTCCATTGTGACATTAGAAAGTGTCACATTTATCTTGCAAGTGTACTCTTCTTCAACGTTTGCTTTACTTCCTGGATTTTTCCCACATGGAAATTCTGACCAATCAAGAACAGCTTTCTCACACAAGGCATTTGATCTGGTCCGCTTGTAAATGCTGCCGTGAGAATACGAACCAACTCTAGGCAATTACACAACTTTGTAACAAAATTAGTCGCTGATTCAGACCAAAGGAGACGACTCTAGGTCTGAAAGCAGCCTATTGTTGCTTTACACTCTGGTATTTTGGTGGAATGTGACATTTTCTCTCTTCTTCCTTAAATAACACTCAAGTTTTTTCTTTCTCTCCTGTGAATGATCTGTTTGAGGTTCCCTTAGAGCTGGAGAGCCCAACTCAGATTTCCCTGGTTGACGAGGCATCTGGAGAGGTAAAAACTGAGGACTGATTGAAGAGTCGGCCCAGTCACACATATGGATTTAGATCGTTAGTTGCATAATCGTAAATGTCCCTCTGATTGATTTTCTTAAACCATCTTTCTTGGTGTCTGTTTGACAGAAAGAAGAGGTCGTGGTCACGTTGCTTCCTGCAGGCCACTGTCCCGGCTCTGTTATGCAAGTCAAACCATTTTTATGTCTTTGTTTATAAATGTAGCCACAACATACAATAAAGATAACCACTGATGACAGTATACTAAATATATTCCCCCCTTTGACCTCCAGCAATATTTCATGATGGTCTGGAGCCTGCTCATATTCCATTTTACCTGTAATGAAGTTGACTCTTGAACACAATCGTAGTCGATACCCTCCCAGTTTAGAGAACTAGACAGGAGTACCACCACAGAAGCTTTGCCAGTTAAATGGTCTATTTTTGCTACTTTTTCAGGCATGTTAATCAGTCTGAGGTTGGACAACCCCATAAAATTCCAAACTATCCCTTTAAAATCAAAAGTCAAACTCTGAAATGTTGTGTGTCTGTGTGCAGGTTCCTGTTTGAGGGTTCTCAGGGAAACGTGTTGTACACAGGAGACTTCAGGTTAGCTGCTGGAGACGTCTCGAGAATAGAACATCTGCACTCAGGCAGCAGGTCAGTCCTGATGAACACCTTCAACAGAAGCTCTGGAGAACCAGACAGTGAATATTGAGGAATTTGATCATGTCTTTAGAAAAGTCAGAGATTATTTAGGCGCTCACTGTAGCTGTTGAACGACTTTTTATGTCCCCTAAACCTTCTTGTATCTTGTTTCACAAACAGAGTGAAGGATATTCAGAGTATTTATCTGGACTCCACTTTTTATGACCCACGATTCTACCAGATCCCCACTCGGGTAAGTCTCTGGGATGGAAACAGGACTCAATAAAGGAAGATGCTGTAGGAGTCTTTGTGGTGAATTCCAATCAGGAATAGTAAGGAAAATTGTGTGTGTGTGTGTGTGTGTGTGTGTGTGTGTGTGTGTGTGTACATGTGTGCAGGAGGTCTGTCTGAACGGTATCTCAGAACTCATTGGAAACTGGATCACTCAGAGTCCTTATCACGTTGTGTGGCTCAACTGCAAAGCTGCGTATGGATATGAATACCTGTTTACCAACCTGGGAGAGGAGTTCAACACACAGGTAGCACACACACACTCAGGTTTCTGTTCACATACTCTATATGTACTCCACAAATTCATACGTGTGTGTGTGTGTGAACATCTCCCGCTAAAGTACAATTAAATGGTTAAACATTTACTCTCAGATTCATGTCAGAAGTCTGGTGATGTTCAAGAAGATGCCGGAGATCCTGAGCTACGTGACGACTGATCGCAGGACGCAGATCCATGCCTGTCGACACCCTAGGGTCTCTCTCTCTCTCTCTCTCACACACACACACACACACACACATCCAAAGTCTCTCTCAGGTTATCCAGGGCTGTAAGTGGCCCCTATATAGCCATCTAACCTTAAATTTGGTAAATCTTGTAAACACTGTTGCTGCAGCCCCTCTCCTTCTACCAGCAGTAAATTTTAGTTTTGTTTCCAAAGAGATACCGTTAAGTTAATATGGGGACTTGGCTGTTGTAACCTTTGCTGTCGCTGCTCTGGAAATGATTTTGCCCCAGAAAGTTAAAAATATCTTGGAATTTTTTTTTAAATTCAAAATTTAGGTTATTTTAACGAAGTCAAAGTTCCAAAACCATGGTAGTAAATTATTTGTTTGCTTTGTTAATCCTTTTGTTGAGCATCCCTGTGACTGTCACTTCTACTGCTTCATAGCTCTGGTGTGTGTGTGTGTGTGTGTGTGTGTGTGTGCAGGATGAGGAGTTTTTCCAAGGCAGCCGGTTGCCGTGTGGCTGCACAGCACCTGATGGGACTCCTCTTCGAATCATCAGCATCAAACCGTCCACCATGTGGTTTGGAGAACGAATGAAGAAGACTAATGTTATAATAAAGTAAGAGCAGATTCAGATGTCTCAGCGGTTTGTGGAAATACTCACTTCTGTCAAAACTCATGTTTCTTTAAGATAGTGAAAGAAAAATTAATCACAAATCACATGGAGCTTGGTGTATGAGAGCTAAGTATGCATTTTGTTTTCCAGAACAGGAGTCAGTTCCTTCAGAGCCTGCTTCAGTTTCCACTCGTCTTACTCAGAGGTACATCTGTGTTTCATGTGGTTACACACTGACAGTACATTTCTTTGTTACATACATGAGTCTAATGGGAGCTTCTAGTGTTTTCCTCAGCTAATAATGATCTACAGTTGTGCTGGTTTCCCATATGAAGAGTTTTTAAACTCTTCTTTCCTCATTTATACTCTTTAAAGTTGAGCACTGTTCAGGCATTTGGAAATAAATAGACTCACAACGTTCCTCTCTGATTTCAGCTCAGAAACTTCCTTTCCTACCTCCAGCCGGTCAACATCTACCCCAGTGTTATCCCTCTGGGTCGGACGCTGACTGAGGTGACACAGATGTGAGTCAAGTTTTACTCATTTTGATTTTATTTCAGGTGAGAACTGGGTAGGGTTGGGTCGGTTCTCAGTAATACCAGTTCGGTTCAGTACTCCGTCTTGGACCGGGTTTGTTTTTCGCACAAAAGACTGCTCGGCATGTATTTTTCACATCACGGGGATTTTTCACATACATTTTTACAGGAAACTACAACGCGGAAGTGCGACTATGGAAGCACAAATGACTGCGGACATTCCTCGCGGAGAGTCTGTGAGCACCTGTGTCTGCCTCTTTGCCAAGCGCACAGTGAGCAGGGGAGAGAGAGGGGGGTGGGGCGGGGACTGAGCTACGGGGTGTGAGTGCGCCTGTGCCGAGGCCTCTACTGTAGCCTGGGTAGTCGATAATGGCGGACAATTTAGTCTCGAACAAATCAAAGAATGTGCCACTATGGCAACACTTTGGCTTTGAGCCAGACGAAGAAGGCAACCCTTGTTTGCACTGATTGAGTAAGCTGCAAAATTTATTTGTAAGGAATAAAAGAAACAACTTGTTACTGTCACTCTGTTGTCCTATGGTCGTTTTTTATTTTAAATTAGTCAATTGCGCCCCCAAGTGGCGAAAAAATCCGGTATTACCGACTTGATGGGGTTTTTCACAAAAACCGGACCGTGTTTTTTTTCTCATACCGACCCAACCCTAGAACTGGGGCTGTACCCAACTAAAAATGATGTCAGCTGGATCAGATTTGGCTGTTGAATACGTTTATTTGGAGATTTGTGTTTTTTCTTCTCTGTATAAAGCTTTAATGTTTGATTTAAAGAAACAACAAGCCAAAGTGTTTTTCCCCTAAAGCAGAAAGATAAACAGTGATTCCAGACCTTTCTCTAGCGCTGACACAGTGTTGTTAAGACAGATGTGGCTACACAAGACTAGTTGCGGCCTCGTAAAGGCATTAAACCCCACCAGATACTTTACAGATCCTTTTAGACTTTACACAGGGCTTCTGCTGTGATAACTTTTAAAGCCAACACTGTAAAATTAGAAGCCAAAGTCTCCATCTTGCAGGCCTTTGCAATGAAACAAAAAAAGTGATGTATTTTATCTGTGATACCATAGTTTAAATATTTAAAAAATTAAATCAGTTAGTTCACATGTTAATTACAGTAACATTTATAGCTAAAACTGTTAAACAGTTGTAAAAACTTTGTCACCGTGTGTCTGTGCAGGTTGAAGCTGATGTGCAGGAAACAGTCGGATCAAACTATGACTGTATACAAACCTCTGGGAGTCCTCAAACGCTGCAAGGTGGAGCAACCCACATATGGTGAGACACACACACACACACACACACACACACTGTATATAATCACAACAGGTGCTCTGCACTGTGATGCTTCTTTACAGGCCATGATGAGATCTTTCCAGGTGACAACAATCAGTCTTTGCCCGCTTGCAAATATTTTGTCAGAACTACAAGAAGCACTGTTTGCATCAGACGTGTAAGGCAGGTGGGCCTGTACCGCTGTCTGAAAGATGCAGAGACATTGGAATTAGGATAGTTTTTTTTAATAGTGTAATAGTTTTGGTTTTTGTAAATTTGTCCCCAAATTTCCTTTTGAGTAGAATTAAAAAGTCTTAAATCTAACATGCCTCAAGGTACATCACCTCTCATGACGTCATAGAAAATAATTGACAGTTATTAAGCTGGCTAATTTGTCCTTAATCTCCTTATGTATACTTGTTGATACAGACGGAGATACATCACAATAAAATTAAGAGCATTTCAAAGTCAGCCAGTTTAGAGACACCAGGCTACACAGCTGAGGATGCTTCCCCCAACAGAGCGCTGAACCCAGCTCACCTACTTCCCTCGATGCCTCTGAGGCAGGATGCGACACAATAAAGTGACACTCACGTTGGTAAATGAGCCGGCCCAGTTAATGCATGTGTGGATCCTGTGTGTGTGCATGTGTGTGTGCATAATCGGACAATATTAACGGAGTGAAAAAATTGAATGCAGTCGTCCTTCTTCAAAAGTCATTCCCTGCTGTGCAATCAGTGATTGATAGGGCAAGATAACTGTGTCTATGTTCTGTACCAAGGCCCGTACTGAGCAGTTGGTTAGCTGTTAGCTGGCTTTCATTTCTTTAACAAGCGGCAGATAAGTTACTGTAGCTGCAGAGCTGAAGACTTTGCATTTACAGTGTTGGCCTGTTGTGGTGTGGTTTCTGTTTAAGAAGCACTTTGCTTAAAACTAACTTTGGCTGCTACATATTTTCTGACTTATTACAAATTATCTGAGAGATTAAAGTGAGATTTAGTGAGAAGTTTTCAGTCTAGTGTGTGTGCATGAGTGTGTGTGTGTGTGTGTGTGTGTGTGTGCACACGCACGCTCAAATCTGGCTCGTTATAACTGGTGTGAAATGAAGCATCTACATAAATTAAAACCTGTTATCTTTGAAGTGTTACATATGATTTAATATGACAATAAACCTCTTCTAGGATTATTTCAGACTTGAATACTGTGCATACCTGAGCACTATACAGGGTTTTCACAGTCATGTAAAAACTGCAAATGTCATGGAATTTCACAATCACATTTTCCAGGCCTGGAATAGTCATCGAATACATAAAAAGCATTGAAAGTTTTGGAAAAATCATGGAATTGTGTTGTGTAATGAAACTGACTAAGAATTTTCCTAGTCGACCAGTAGTTGTCATTTAGGGCCATTAGTCGACTAGACTCCCGCATGTTTACGATGTTAATTTAATGATTAAATGATATATTTTGGTGGTTTGAGTTGAAGGTGTGAGAAAGAATAGTATCAGTAACATTGTTAACACTGTGCTACATTACAGAGAAATACAAAACTGTACTAATGAACCTTCATTTATATAGGCCTATATTTTATCTACAAGTACACGTCACACACTGAGCCTGTTAATGACGCTGTGGGACACTTCCTGTGTCTTTCCTTTCACATTAAATTCCCACATGGTCCAGTCATATAGGTTTTGGTTTATTTTGACATGGAGCAGCTCCTGATAGAGTTTCACATTGTTGTTTGTTTGTTTACGTAATGTCATGTGAACAGCAAATACCCAGAATACATTGATCATTTCATAAACTTTTATTACCTATTATCTGAATGGTAATTGTTGTTTTTTCCCCCAATATTCAGAAGTTTTAAATCATGTTTTTTAAAGCCAAAAACATACTAAAAGTCTGCGTTGATGGTGAATTAAAAAAACTTAATTAACTCCTGCATGCCTGTCTAGTGAACATATTAACTTTCTGTTTCTCCCTGCTCAGATTCAGACAGCGATGATGAGCTGTTTGACGGGCTGGACTTGGCGCCAGTGAGGAAGAAGATGGCGCTGAACCAAGAAATGAAAAATGGTGCATAAATATTTGATCTTATTTTTGTAGCCTTATGTCTCTTTTTGGTGTTTACATGAATGTATTGATGATTGTTCACAATATTTGTTTAAATCTGTAATTCTCAGTGAAAGATCAGAGTTCTCAGGAAACAGCGCCCCCTGTGTCTGCGGTTGAGTCTCTACCTCTGACAGTCACAGACACACAGCCTGTAACAGGTAACTACATGGACTGCACTGAGTCCAATGATGAAGAGGAGGGTGAGCAAGAGGGAGAGAACGAGGGAGAGGAGGATAAAACACTGACGATGGAGGAGGCGAAAGGAACAATAAAGGACACTGAGAATAAGTCGACTGACGTTGAAGGAAGCGGCTCCTCTAATCCTCCAAAATGGGAGGACTTCTTCACCACGGAGACGCTGACTGACAGCCAGAACAGCCTCAACAGCCAATCACAGTCCTGCTGCTCTATCTCAAGCCCCTCCCCCTCCAAACTGACTGATTCACAGACCCCAGATCTGTTCAGCGATGAAGAGGAAACGCCTGAAAACTTCAGTTTGACTCTGTCTGCCTCTCTGTCGAATCATTCTTCCCAGAACCAGGAGTCATATCTACCTGACACTTTGATCCTCCAACCAGAGCAGGAGGGGCGGGAACAAGGAGACAAGAGGACCAATACTGTGTCTCAGGAGAAGGAGCGCAGCGGGCAGTTGGAGCAGGAGGAGCTCTCAGAGTCTCAGGTGTCATCGGACTTTGATATTCCCTGCACGCCAGAATCCAAAGTGCCTCAACCTGATGAACTGTCGCAGTTGTACAGGAAGCTGGCGTCAGGAGAGGAAGTCGTCATTAGAAAGGCAAGTCAGGGCTACACATGACAGAATGTTAAAGGAAGTTTTGGTGAGCCACGTTGCTACTAGGCTTGGGCCTGTGTTAAAAACCCACTATTTTGAACACTGCAGCCTGTTCTATTTTGTTCAGAGAACATCGGCGTGCAGCCTCGTTCTGTGGACGATGAACGAGGTGCAGACTGATAAAGATACAGTGAGTGCTGGACGGAGCAGTGAGTGACAACAACCCCGCCCACATTTAAGAGGACTGTTTGTGGTGGAAACACTAGGGTCTAGGTACCATGTCTGAAGGGTTACTGTTGGTTCCAAAGGTACCATACTGAAAGTGTTTGGTGGAAACGGGGCTTAAAGCTGCCATGTCTCGTGTCCACCCCAAAAAATACATGAACTTTCAAGTAAACAAAGACAAGTTGCCCTGTTCATCGCCCCCTCCCACCTCTATTGAAATTGCTCTCCTTCGTGTTGCCAGCCTCAGCTCTGCACGACCTGTCAGACACTAGTGGCTCTGTTAGTCTGTAACCATATATACATAACTGATCACATTGTCATATTGCTTATTACTAATGCAAGCCAAGTTGGATTTAGCGCCATGATGCCGTCAGCACAGGTTGCTGATGTAGACTACTCTTTATCTGCCAGAATGACAAATGTCAGTTCAGCTGTTTGGCATTAAATCAAACTGGTTTAAGCTCGCACACCTGACAGGAACAGCCAAACTGGAAATCAACCCAACTCTAATATCTTATCATTTGTTCTCCTATATGCCCCAAGATTCCTGTTTTGTATATGTGAACACCACATAATGAGCTTCTATGATACCAGGTATGCCTTTCAAGTGACACCATTCCACTCTAAAACCACACGGACCTCAGTACGTACAGCACCAACACACACACACACACACACACACACACACACACACACACACACACACACACACACACAGTTTGTTCCAATGCACTTTAAGTTCACCCGTGCCCTACATACATTAATGCACCTGTGACTTTCTCTGCTTGTTGACGGTTTGTGGTTTTGTTCTGCTGAACTCTTTTCTTCCTTTTACACTGCATCAATTACAGGAAGTTCTGAATAAAAGCAGAACTTTTGGTTTGTTATATCAAATTAAAAGTATTTTATTCAAACCAAAGAGCATTTTGTATGCTTTCAAAGTTCAGATGAGTGATTCGTTTGACTTAATAGGAGTTAAAACTAGCAAAAAAGTTAAAAAGAAATTCACCATCAAAGGCTGTAATCAACCAAAGAAAAACTTGGTTGACAGAAATTCTTCCTTCTCCTAAACCATTTGATTGGTCTATTGATCTCCCCCTGAATAAGAATTTTCCTAGTTGACTAATAGTCATCATTCAGGTCCATTAGTCGACTAGTCGCCCACATGTTTCTGATATGAATGTAATGATTAAATGATATATTTTGGTGGTTTGAGTTGAAGGTGTGAGAAAGAATAGTATCAGTAACATTGTTAACACTGTGCTACATTACAGAGAAATACAAAACCGTACTAATGAACCTTCATTAATATAGGCCTATATTTTATCTACAAGTGCACGTCACACACTGAGCGAGCCGCCTGTTAATGACGCTGTGGGCTAATGGGCATGTAGCTACTTCCATGTTTCAGATGATACGTCATGTTTGTAGTCGACCAATGAAGATGAGTTTACATATCACCTTGGGTTCGTCCTTCACCTTCTCAAAATGATCCCACACTTTGGATTTCCTGCCCTACATGTTATTAACTAGCCTGTGGAATAACCGCAGGCACCAGCCCTGGAAATTAACCTGACATCTGTGTGTGTGGCCATGTCCTTTCAAATTAAATTCCCACATGGTCCAATCAGTTAGGTTTTGATTTACTTTGAAAAGGCGCAGCTCCTAAAAGAGTTTAGTTTTTTTCTGTGACTAAGCGACCAATTAAGTCTTGGCTAAAGACCTTTCTGGTCGACTAATGTTTTGTCGACTATCGAAAGCAGCCAACAGCTGTTTTCTTCTGTGGGTTCGGGGATGGTAATGCCTGTGTAAATGCCCAAAGGAGGACAATTCACTGACGTCCTCTCACAGCAGGAGCCACTCACTGTACTGTGTCCTGGAGACGCCAGGAATCTGCAGGTTTTCATGACAAACAAACCAAACTACAGGTGAGTACCAACATGTTTTCCTATCTTTATTTATTACTTTTATATTGTAAAACAGTTTGTAAACTTTAAGAAAATTGTTCTTTAACTGTTACTTTTTTTATTTTAAAGTCCTTTACATAGATTGACAAACTTTGAATTGTTGCTTTTGGTCTTTTTATGTGTTTTATTGACTGAATATCACCAAACTTATCCTTTAATATATTCATCACGTAGTGCTACTTTATATTTGGACCTTAAATAACTACTATTCACCCTCAACAAGCCATTTTGTTACAATCAGCTGCTAAACGTTCACTGTAACATCTGCTGCTAGATTCATCAAGCAGCTACACAACATGCCAATAAGGCCAAATGAAGTCGAGCTGATTCGTTGGAACATAGATCTCCAGTCTCTTTATGTAATGATCTCGATGGGCTTTGTCTTTTAAAACAGCAAACTGTCTCTGTTTCGTGAGTCCGTCTGTTTCCATAAAGCACAAACATCTTTAACCAGTTTGTTTGACACAACAGGCTCCACAGCTGGTTAAAGCAGGTGACGCTGATCCCATTAGGGTTTCTTCTGCTGCTGCTGTATCCTTCTTCCGTCACACCCTTCAGTTCACAGAGACAGAAAACACAGCAGCAATGTTAATTTACAGGAACTTGAGTTTATTTAAATGGTTAAAACTGGAACCAAAGCACATAAAACACATTGGAAGTGCTGAATAATTATAGCCACTGGATTATAAAATGATGTTCAGTTACTGTAATGATCTCATGTTACCCTTTCAGTACCAGATGCAATGGTTGTGATGGAAAAAGGGAGCAAACATGTAGAACACAAATAATCGGTAATAATAGATAATAGATCCTTAAAGTGCAAAAACCAAATATACACAGTGGCAGAGATGTAAAAAAAAGGTAAAGAACACAAAAATTAGCATGGATATATCTGCTTTAAATTCATCAAAATACTAAATAAGTGATGAAATTATTTATTAACAGGCCCAAACAGAATCTGCAAAAGTGTTTTCAGTGATGATCCAAAATGAAAATGCCTCTGGAACTCTCTCCCCCACAACATTTGTAATATTAACTACCTTTCCACTTTCGAATCCGGTCTGAAAACACCTTTTCAAGCTGGCATATTCGGTCTGATTTAATGTGACACACATTTTGAGACTTGCACTGATGATGATTTTATATCTAATCTTACTATATACTTACGAAAACTCTGTGTGTGTGTCTGTTCCACGTTTTTCTCCTCACTGACTTGGTCAATCCATGTGAAATTTGGCACAGTGGTAGAGGGTCATGGGAGGATGCCAATGAAGCAATATTACATCAATTGGCCAAAGGGGGGCGCTATAGCAACCGATTGAAATTGCAAACTTTGAATGGGCATATCTCATGCCCCGTATGTCGTAGAGACATGAAACTTTGCACAGAGATGCCTCTCCTCATGAGGAACACATTTGCCTCAAGAACCCATAACTTCCGCTTATATAGATTTTCCGCCATTTTGAATTTTTTGAAAAACACTTCAAATGGATCTCTTCCTAGGAAGTTTGAGCGATCTGCATGAAACTGGGTGAACATAATCTAGGGACCAATATCTAAAGTTCCCTCTTGGCAAAAGTTGGAAAACTTACTAAAACTGAGCTTCTATAAGGCAATGAATATTGCGGAGGGCGTGGCTCATCACATAAAGGTGTATAACATCTCAAGGGTTTCACCCATCACCACGCAACTTTGTAGGCATATGACCACACATAATCTGAGGGGACCCCTCCATTATTGACCCCATCAAACAAAATGGGGGCGCTAGAGAGCTCATTTCTTATCTAGGCCTAACCGCCATATGGATTTTTACTAAACTTGGTAGTTATGTAGAACAGGACACCTCAAGGTGACTGGAGAAATTTAACTCTAATTGGCAACTGGGTGGCGCTATAACAACAGAAAAATGCTTCAAAATGGCTAAAATGCGACCGATCACTGTGGCTCTCCCTGTGGACCAATGTTGTTTTTTTTTCTAATGTTTGGTATGACTAAGTCATGGTATGGTATGCTGTACATAATCACGGTAACTGTCAGTGTGTCATTCTGTCAGTCAGTCATTCTGTCTGTCCCACGTTTTTCTACTCACTGATGTGGTCAATCTATGTGAAACTGCACATAGGCATTGAAGACTGGCATAGGTAGAAGGTGGCAAAGCTACCAGTGGGTATGGACTAGTTATTATTATTATTATGAAAATCTTCAGTATTCTGTTGATTTTATTTATTTTATTTTTTTTCTGGAACTGTGACAGACAACATTCATTTATGATAACAATTGTTTTTGAACAAAGAAAACCTCCCACAACATTAAAACCTAAAATTACCTCAAGCAGACTAAAAGAACTACTTAGTAAATTTAAGTAGAAACTTTGAATCAGAAATTTTATTTAATTATGAATACGCCAAGAAAAAATTGAAATTTGTTGGAAAAGTCACAACAAAATGTTGGACACATGGGCGTTAAAATGGAAGGTTCAGTATGGAGCAGACTAATTTTTCTACTAACAGTGTATCAACTCAAATCTTATTTTTGACATTTTTTCTCACTTCACTACTAACTTTGATTTTAATACTAACTGAATACAACACATGATTGTCACACACATGCTCAAGAAGGTGGAGACAGTGACAACAGTCTGAGTTTTCTAAGCAGCATCTATATTCCGAAAATCTGAGGAAAATCTGCAGCTAAGCTATGTAGGAAATAACCTGCAAAACTTATGACATTCCCATCAGCTTCAGCTTTACATCATATTTACTTACTGAACTCGGACTCGCTGCTACGCTGAATCAGTTTTTCTTAGTTTCTCCTGTCACTGTTTTTTAAAACCAACTTGCAGAGAGATCACTGATGAAGATTAACCTGAGACAGAAACTTCATCTCCTCTTTTTTTGGACTAAAATCAGTGTTTGTCTATTTGTAAATTGATAATGATTTATGATTTATAAATGACTGTATTAGCCGTGCATTTGAAGGATTTTTAGAGTCCTGAAAAGGTCAAGTATTTCATGAAAAAACGCTAAATTTCGAGTAAAAATAAACTGTTTTATTTATCTGGAATGGTGGCCAAAACACAGCAGTTCAGTTTACTTTAAGACAATTCCCTCAGTATCCATACTGCTTTCCAGGTACGTCTATCAAAAACAGAATTCCTTTAACATGTGAAGAGACGTGACATCTGCACACCAATTTGGCCCTGAGTTTATAGTTAGGTAAGATTTTAAGCAGAAAGGTGAAGAGCAGAAACACTGGTATGGTCCTTTTACTGCTGACATGACAACATAGATCTCATTAATGAAAAAAGGCAGAGGAAAACTGGAGGAGGCCGACACACACACACACACACACACACACACACACACACACACACACACACACAGACACAGAGACAGGAAGGAAGCACACACACCTGACTCTTCATTAAAATCAGAGTCCATCCCCCCACAGTGGCCTCCTGAGGGCTAACAAGTCTCTCTCATTCTCTGTGGACGACAGTGTCATTAATTAACACACACGCATCAAACATTAAATTAAAAACACTTCTACCACTAACCAAACATAAAATACTCACACAGCATTAACTTGTACATGTTAACACACTTTTAAGGGTCAAAAAGATTTAAATTACACACATAAACACACAAAGTGATCATCAGTGTTTTTATCTTCCCATGCTCTCATGACCCCAGAGATTCAACAGGAAATTGAGACTGTGTGTGTGTGTGTGTGTGTGGAGGTTATTGGGAATTTAATATGCAGTGTACTGTCATGTCGGCATGCTGCCTCATACCAAATGCAGATATTTAAGTCAGTATATAAGTACATTATAAATGTACTTATATACTACTTATGTTTATACTGACCTTCAGTACATGAATTAGAGAAAGATGATTTGTCAAAAAATCGGTCTTAAATGTGATGAAAAGGTCTTAAAAAGCATTAAATTTAAATGTGATGGCAGGAGACACCCTGATGACACTTTCATTGGTATTTTGTCTCTGAGGGATTTCATTGGCTCTGCAGCACGACACTGGACATTGTAACATTTTGAATTGTGCTTGTTCAATCAATTTATATTCATCAATTCATCAATCAGTTTGTGTGTGTGTGTGTGTGTGTGTGTGTGTGTGTGTGTGTGTGTGTGTTACCTCTGAGTGATCCTATCTGTACTTGAGGAATGTTGCTCAAGTCGGTGGGAAAACCCACGTACACACCTCCATAGTTCCTGTACACACAAACACACACATTATGCAATATATGAATGTAAAATATATGTTCTAGAGGTAATATAAACTCACCAGCCACTTTATTAGGTACACCTTACTAGTACTGGTTGGACCCCATTTTGCCTTCAGAACTGCCTTAATCCTTGGTGTCACAGATTCAACAAGGTGCTGGAAACATTCCTCAGAGATTTTGGTCCATATTGACATGATGACATCACACAGTTGCTGCAGATGTGTCGGCTGCACATCCATGATGAGAATCTCCCGTTCCAGCACATCCCAAAGGTGCTCTATTGGACTGAGATCTGGTGACTGTGGAGGCCATTGGAGTACAGTGAACTCATTGTCATGTTTGAGATGATGTGAGCTTTGTGACATGGTGCGTTATCCTGCTTGAAGTAGCCATCAGAAGATGGGTACACTGTGGTCATAAAGGGATGGACACGTTCAGCAACAATATTCAGGTAGGCTGTGGTGTTTAAACCATGCTCAGTTGGTACTAAGAAAATCTCCCCCACACCATTACACCACCAGCAGCAGCCTGAACCGTTGATGCAAGACAGGATGGATCCATGATGCCAAATTCTGACCCTACCATCTGAATGTGGCAGCAGAAATCCAGACTCATCAGACCAGGCAACGTTTTTCCAATCTTCTATTGTCCAGTTTTGGTGAGCCTGTGTGAATTGTAGCCTCAGTTTCCTGTTGTTAGCTGACAGGAGTGGCACCTGGTGTGGTCTTCTGCTGCTGTAGCCCATCTGCTTCAAGGTTGGACAAGGTGTTGTTGCTTCAGAGATGTTCTTCTGCAGACCTTGGTTGGAACCAGTGNCTTATTTGACTTCCTGTCGCCTTTCTATCATCTTGAACCAGTCTGGCCATTCTCCTCTGACCTCTGGCATCAACAAGGCATTTTGGCTCACTAGATATTTTCTCTTTTTGGGACCATCCTCTGTAAACCCTAGAGATGGTTGTGCTGAAAATCCCAGTAAATACTCAGACCAGCCCGTCTGGCACCAACAACCATGCCACGTTCAAAGTCACTTAAATCACCTTTCTTCATCATTCTGATGCTCAGTTTGAACTTCAGCAGCTCGTCTTCACCATGTCTACATGTCTAAATGCACTGAGGTGCTGCCACGTGATTGGCTGATTCACTAGTTAAGGAGCAGTTGAACAGGTGTACCTAATAAAGTAGCCAGTGAGTGTATATCTATATAAATATATATCATGTGTACTTGGAAACAGATGTTCCATGAGCGCACTGAAAATCTGAATTGAAATGACTCACTTCCATTTGTCGTCTTCTGGCGCAGACTCTTCTGATCTGTACACACACACACACACACACACACACACACATTAAAAGCTGTACGTTAGCAGAACAGACATGTTTTAATATCTGAATATGTTTGTTAATGTGTGTGTGAGCTTTTTAAGAAAGAGGGGAAAGGTGTAAAACGGACTCACGCCTTTGATGAAGACTCAGCTTGACCTGCAGTCACGACACAGACATGAGTGAGACTAATGTGATGAATAGCTGACATATTTTAATATATTTCCCAGTGACCCATTGTTTTCTCTCAGCTAAACTAATAACCTGCATAATGATGTACATTTACAAATGACTCTTTGCTTTCATGTGTCTCTGACTATAGAAATACAACCTGCTGCAATAAGAGGACGCAAAAGAAGCAATAAATAACAAACTATAAAATCAAGAAATCTGCAGTTTAATCAAATGCCAGGTCTGAATACTGTAAAGCAAAATGTTGGATTGGAATGGCAATGCAAATACTACACCCGTGGGAACGCACTAATTTTAGCCCTTTACCGGCGTGATGCAATGAGGCCACCACAAAATACTGTCTGTCTCCACCCAAGCAGCGCTCAAACATCATTCCAAATTAGTGTGCACCGAGTATATAAAAAGATGTAACCACTGTAATGTTTTCTCTGGTCTCCATGCTGTTATCTACCTTTTACTGACCTGTTTCCGGCTGGCCGTGACGTCAAACTTGACACACCAGTGAAAAAAAAGAAAACGACAACAAAAACCAGAAAGGTGTCTGCTGGCAATGGAAAAGGAGTCTGTTACCTAGTTTTCATTGGTTTTCACATGTTTAAAAAAACATGCGTACACACACTGATTTGGGTGGAAAGTCACGCAATAACACAAACCAACTAACCATTTGAGGCAGAGGTAGACCAGCAGCTCCTGTGTTCAGCGAGGTGAAATTACTGTTTTTGTCAATAGAGTCTGGCTTTGAAGAGAGCATAGATAAGTTTTACCATTTGTGGCTTCCAACCTCTCCTGCACAATGTTTTAACTTTGAATTTTCCTGTATTTTCTATACATATATGTGCAAATAAACTAAACTTTTTCAAGAGAGACCTGGCCAAGACAGCAGCGCACAAGAAGTTACAGCCAAACAACAACCACACAATAAAAACATAAAAGAAACAGTGACATGTAGAAATATTAGAACATCTACACACAATGACAAGAATGAACAGATTCATTCATGCTTGTTCTTATGAGAGCTTCAAAGTCAGACAGAGAGACCAATTCATGTAGTTTCCAGGAATTAGGGACAGACAATAAAACTAAGTCTTGAGATCTCAGACTGTAGCCACAGTTCATTCAAAGCACAAACGTATGAAGGGAGTTTACCCAGTGTGACTTTATAAATGAACAAATACCAGTGAATGAGCCTATGAAAGGTCAAAGAGGGCCAACCAGCCCTGGAATAAAGCATACAGTGATGAGTGAGGGCTTTACAACTCGTAACACATCTCAGTACACTGTGATATGCAGTATCTAAAATGTTAAGATGCATTCATGTACAACAGATCACCGTAATCTGGAACCGGTAAAAATGTAGCAGCAACCAGTCTCTTCTGGCCTCAAAGAAGAGACAGGACTTGTTTCTGAAACAAAACCTCAGCCTCAGCTTCTTAGGAAAATTATCAACCTGAGGTTTAAAAGACGGAGTCATCAAGCCGAATACTGAGATATCTGTAACATGACAACCTCTAACTTGTTTCCCTGAGCAGGAAGAACATCAGGAGTGTTCACAGGCTTCTTCCTATCATTTGGGAAATTCATAACCTTGGTTTTATCAGCATTTAAATCCAGCTTTAGAGTTAGGGTTACTAAAGTAACTTAAATATAACGAAAGAGAGTGAAGAGACTCTAAATCTGTCTACTATAACCTTTTATGTGCGACCAGATGAACAAAAACAGTGTTTCTCACCTCCAGTGTTGTTGCTGTTGTTGGTGGCTGGTGAGGAATTTCCACATCCCATCTCTCACCTGAGTCTATAAAACCACAGAAGAAGAGGAAGGAAAGACCAGACGAATGAGAGGAAGAAGAAAATAAAGACGCAGAGGAGCGTCAGGTACAAAGAAATAAAGATGGGGGAGGTCCTGTCTGTGTTTCCCTTTTCTTTTCCCTTCTGTACTCTGGGTCTCTCCGCTGTGCCTCTCAGCATGGAGGAAGGATTAATATGACGGCAAGAAAAGAGGAGGAGGAGAGGGGGAGAGAAAGGTTGGGAGGAAACTGCAAGAAGCAGAATGTGTTCACCCCCTGCTGTTGAGGGACTGTGTGTTTTAGTGTGTGTCTCATGCTTTGAAATCTCTGCACAGATCAAAGTCAGCTTCAATCTGTTTAGTTTCTGCCCCAATACAGAGGGATTGGACCTGAGTGGGATTAGAAAGCAGAAGGAACAGTTAACGGGTAGAGTTCAGCTGGAAACACACCGGGAGGAAACCAAACTTCTACCAACACGCAAACATTTATGTCTTCACAGTCAGAAAACAGAAACTGAGTAATACTGAGCTGCTGTGCAACTTCAACCCAAATCGCAAGAATAAATGTTGGCATTGTATGTTTCACCAGAACCACAGATATGTTACATTTGTCAGTTTCCTGTGTAGCAGATATGTTGAAACTTGATGTTGAAAACATTATGTTTTGGCTTAAAACGCTTTGTTTGTCGCCACTGGAAATGTACTGACTTTCTGTGAAACCTACCTGGTTTTATCAGCAGGAACACGGCTGAAAATATCCTGGCATCTTGTTTTAAAAAAATACCTGGCTGGAAATGTCCAGATGTCTTGTTGGAAATTACACCATTTTTGTGCCACAAACACGGCTGGAAATATTCCAGTGTCTTGTTAAAAGATACCCAGTTTTGTCACCATGAACACAGCTGGAAATCTCCTGAATTCTTGTTAAAAATAACCCATTTTGGCACCACAAACACGGCTGTAAATGTACCAACTTCCCTTTAAAAAGACTTGGTTTTGTCGCCACAAATGCAGCGGGAAATGTCCCGACTTGTCGTTAAAAAGACCTGGTTTTGTCGATACTAACGTGGCTTGAAATGTCCTGTTGTCCTATTATAGCTACCTGGTTTTGTCACCACAAACATGGCTTGAAATGTCCTGATGTCGTTTTAAAACTTGCAGAGTTTGGACGCCACAAACACAGCTGGAAATCTCCCAAATTCTTGTTAAGAAATACTCATTTTTGGCACCACAAATAGAGCTGAATATGTCCTGACTTCTCGTTAAAAAGACCCAGTTTTGTAGATACTAACGTGGCTTGAAATGTCCTGTTAAAATCACCTGGTTTTGGCACCACAAACACGGCTAGAAATATCCCGACTTCCCTTTAAAAAGACTTGGTTTTGTCGCCACAAATGCAGCTGGAAATGTCCCGACTTGTCGTTAAAAAGACCTGGTTTTGTCGATACTAACGTGGCTTGAAAGGTCCTGTTGTCCTATTATAACTACCTTGTTTTGTCACCACAAACATGGCTAGAAATGTCCCAACTTCCCTTTAAAAATACCTGCTTTTGTCACCACAAAGGTAGTTGGAAATGTGCTGATGTCTTTTTAAAAGTTACAGAGTTTGGACGAGCGTGAACAGTTGTCTGTCTCTATGTGTCAGCCCTGCGATAGTCTGGCGACCTGTCCAGGGTGTACCCTGCCTCTCGCCCAATGTCAGCTGGATAGGCTCCAGCCCCCCCGCGACCCTTAAGAGGATGAAGCGGTTAGAAAATGGATGGATGGAGTTTGGACGCCACAAACACAGCTGGAAATCTCCCAAATTCTTGTTAAGAAATACTCATTTTTGGCACCACAAACACGGCTGAATATGTCCTGACTTCTCATTAAAAAGACCTGATTTTGTCGATACTAACGTGGCTTGAAATGTCCCATTGTCCAATTAAAACCACCTGGTTTTCTCACCACAAACATGGCTAGAACTTACACTACTTCCCTTTAAAAAATACCTGCTTTTGTCGCCACAAAGGTGGTTGGAAATGTCCCGACTTCTTGTGAAAATTACCCGGTTTTGTCACCACAAACATGGCTGACAATGTCCTAAAATCTTGTTTCAAAAAATGGCTGGAAATGTCCCGATGTCTTGTTAAAAATACCCAGTTTTGGCACCACAAACGTGGCTTTGTCATTACAAAGATCTGGTTTTGTCACTACTGCAATGGCTGGAAATGTCCCGTTGTCCTATTAAAACCACCTGGTTTTGTCACCACAAACACGACAGGAAATGTAGCGACTACCCTTTAAAAACACCTGCTTTTGTAGCCACAGAGGGGGTTGGAAATGTTCCGACTTCTCGTTAAAATTACCTGTGTTTCTTGCCTCAACTCAAGTTAAAAGAAGTGGGAAACTGTCAGGATAAAGATTTTTTTTACATTTTTCTTTTGGCATGAAAGTTATTTTATTTTATTTTACTTTGTTTTGTTTTGTTTTGTTTTATTTTGTGTGTGCTGCCTATGTTGAGGTGTTTACAGTTGAACACCTTGTATGGCGTCTTACACCAAAGACAGGTGTGCTTGAGTGAAATGTTTTCTTTTCCAGTCTATATCTGTATTATTAAATAATTTCTGTGATCATTTTTTCATTGTTGTTGCTGCAGCAGCAGCAGGACAGAAATAATGGGTAAACAGAGGAAGTGAAAAATAAATTATAGGTATAAAAAATAGATTAATAATAGAAATAAAAAAATTGAAACTATACATGGTAGTGTCAGTGGTTTGATTAAAAGCAGCAGTGCATGTAAACAGTGTGCACCAGACATAATAATATATAATATGACTGGGCAGTTTGCTAAAAGTGGAAGACAAGTGATTAACAGGAAGACACACGTTAGAGTCATGACGAGACAGAAGCATCAACAAAACCATAAAATCCTCTGTGACATTTACCAGAAATTACCTTGAATGGCAGCTTGAATCTGCTTCAAATAAAGTAGTCTGTTTTTGGTTCCTTTTCTTGCTCATGTAAATTGACAAGATAGAATAGGAGCTCTAACACAAACTACAGGTAGACTAAAATTAGATCTGTGTCACCGGGCAACTTCCAAAATCCTGTGAGAACACAAATTCCCAGGTGTGACAGCACCAGAGTGGAAATGGATATCCAGTAATGAACGATGAGCTCATTAATGGTGCAGTTTGCACATAGAAGGTGAAAAAAACTGAGGAGAACATCTGGATGAAATAGTAAATGAATAAGTGACAGTATCAATTTTTTATAAACACATAACATATTCACACCCTGCAGTTTCTTTTTGGGCACCAGACAGGCTCTAAGTGGTTTTGTGATTAAACACACTGTAGCACAGATGCTGTAAATCCCAGAGTCTCCACGTCTCTGCAGGTCAGCTGACTGAGCAGATGACTGTGTGATGTGGAAACAGATATATGTGGGGGAACAGAGAGTTCAAACACATGAATAAACTGTCAGGAAAAAATCTTTCTTCCATACATTGTTTTAATTCCCTGACCACTGTGTTGACTCTGTCGTCGTCGTCTTCAAATCAAATGAGCCGGTGGGATTGATGCTGTCGTTCACAAGCGCACGTGGGAAGCCATAAGTGAGAAACACATCATTATCGAGCTCTGCGTGAAAAAAAGTAGCAACCTGACGCCTCCAGTGAAGTGCTTTTCACAACTTCTAATTGTGGCATATGGAGCCACCGAACACTGTCGTACTGAGGGATGAGTTATAAATAAACACGCTGAAGATCTCAGACCAGGTGCATCTGATGCGTCTTCTTAACTGTTTTGAGTATCATCTCCAAGAACAGCAATCAGGAGAGCATCTTCAATTCTGATTAACTGACAAACAATATAAAAACACAAAATATAGTGTGTAATTTGGACGAGTTCGGCCTCTTTGCAAGCACGATGAGACCCAAAGGAGCAACTAGGGTTGTAACGATATACCAGTTTAAAGGTATACCATGATTTAAAGGTTGGTGGTTATCATACCATGTACATGCATTTATCAGTACAATGATATAAATTCTGTAATAAAGTGATACCGTGAAACAGCGACCATTTCTGAGACGGTTATCATACCAACACGTTCTTACTCCAACCTCGTCACATACTGACTTTTGGTCATGGCCTTTCCACGTCCACATAGACGTCCAAGGTACCCTGGGTGTATTGGTTGTTGACATTCTGGGACACTGTGTCGAGTTCAGCCTGTTACATGCATTGTCTTCTTTCAAAATACACTTCTGTTTTCACAGGAAATTTAATGTGCACATACAGTCTCTTTCAAAATAAAAGCGCTACATCGGTACAACACCACTAATTGACTTTTTTTTTTTTCTTCAACAACAAAATCATGTGGTTGGGTTTAGGAAAAAAGAACAGGGTTTGGCTTTAGAGTCTTACGGGATGTGAACACCGCTCTCTCGGGTGAAAGTAGGTGTTTGTTGGACCCATCCGCCACCAATCCAGCCCGCCCCAATTGGACTTTCGCCACCTTAACTTTCATCCTTGTCCTGCCGTGTTTCGCCCTGACGCCGTTGGGCACTGTTAAACTATCATCGCTATCATGCCAACGTTAATGGAAGCCTTTTTTTGGTGGTTCCTGATGACTTCAGAGTGAGACCGGGCTCATTGTCCCATGACAATCTCATACCGTTGCAACCTAAGGCTCAACAGAAGCAAGTTCAACCTTCACTATCTGATTTTTTGGCCACTTGAGAGCAGTGGACACAAGACATGACATGCAAACAGTTTACTTACATCACAGCAGAGTATCATTCATTTATAGTTGTGTTTTGTCCACCCAGTCTTGGGTTTGACGAAGAAAAGCCTTCTGGGGCAAGGACCAATATTTCGGCAGTTCCGGAATAGCCAGCTGATATTCAGGCAGACTTCCTCTTCTGTGTACTACTCATTTTCAGATGATTGCTATAAACAGATTTCTGATGTGAATACAGCTAAAATAAAGCTAAATCTTCGTCAGATCAGTCGACGGGTTCAGAGACTGCATTTTGGACAGTGCTTTCCGCCTCTTTTTCTTAGTGGCCACAAGCATTGTGTAGGAGCTGAGATGATTACTCACAGCTACTGAGGTGTCTAACCCAGTCTGACCTGGAGCATCCCTGAAACTTTAAAAACATCAATGGCAAGCAAGGAT